ATAGCTTTGGCTGCTTGGTTTTTTTTCTTTTCCCTCTCTGGGAGGCGGGTCCTTGTTGTCGAGTTTCGGGGACTTGGCGGGAAGCCAGCTCGAAACTTGCACAACATTTTTTGGTGTCAGAAGTGGGATATTTTGGTTAAGTTTGGCTTGTTTTGATAAACGTTTTTCCAGGAAGACAGCCAAGCTCGGTGTTGTTTTGCAAAACCAATCTATTGTTTTGGGAACAGGTCTGGGAACACTGCCAGAGTCTGGGAAAGCAGCCAAGGAAACTTTGTTTATATAAACAAAGGTTTGTTTTGGGATCAAGAAGAAATAATAACAAAAAACAATGGCTATTTCATTAATTTGTCTTATAATTCTAGCCACCTTTACACCTGTGTTAGGTTACCGTATAGGGAGACGTCCAGACCTTGAGGATGGATGGAACAAATTGCTTCCATCCTTTAATTTTGACATCGAAGGTTTGGTAAAGGAAATCCCCATGGTTAAAATCGGCTCTAATTACTATATAAATCTTATTGCAACAGTACTGTCATTGATAAAGGTACTGGAAGTGCTACTTAAACTTGGAAGAATGGGGTTCCGTTGCCTTCCCTCTTGTAGGAAAGATCACACCTCAAAGGGACTCGCTGGAACTTTGGAAAGGGCTGCAGACAGGCCAGTCCCCGGGTGGCATGGAGCTTGGGAAGATTTCGGTAGATTAGTAGGACATGTGTCACCCCCCATTAATTGGGAGTTCACACCAGAACAAATGTTTGATTCTGGTGAGATGGCCCACTGTTTGGCAGAAGGGTGTTTTTCCTACAAAGATCCGAATATGCAATTCTCCGCTTTGTGCTGGGGCCTGGCTAATGCTTATCGAGCTGCCATAGACCACCTTCAAAGGGTTAAGGTCGACACAGAAACCCAAACCACGCCACTTGAAACCAGTGATGTCCCTATTAGGTCCACAGAAGTTGGAGTCCAAACACAACTTGAAGTCAATGCCATTTCTACTAAGCCCACTAGAACCGGGACTCAAGCTAAGAACCGGAAGGTCATCATTGCCCCTGTGAAGAAGAAGAAGAGCCAGTGAGCCGAGCCGAGGAAGCTCCGCCATTTGATCAGCTGCCAGATGAAGAAAGGCGTTATGCCCTTTTCACTGATGGTTCTTGCCGAATTGTAGGAAGGAACCGGAAGTGGAAAGCGGCCGTTTGGAATCCCACCCGACGAGTGGCAGAAGCCGCTGAGGGTCAAGGCAAGTCGAGTCAATTTGCGGAACTCAAAGCCGTCCAATTAGCCCTGGACATTGCTGAACGAGAAGGTTGGCCGAGACTCTACCTCTACACAGACTCGTGGATGATAGCCAATGCTCTATGGGGATGGTTAGAGCGATGGAAGAAGATGAACTGGAGGCGTGGAGGAAAACCCATCTGGGCTGCTGACTTGTGGCAGGACATCGCTGCCAGAGCGAAGAGTCTGAATGTGAGAGTCCACCATGTAGATGCCCACATGCCCAAGAAGCGAGCTAATGAAGAACATAATAACAACAGAGAAGCGGACCGAGCTGCACAGATAGGGGTGTCACAAGTAGACCTAGACTGGCAGCAGAAGGGAGAGCTGTTTCTGGCTCGATGGGCCCATGATGCTTGCGGTCATCAAGGCCGAGATGCCACCCACAGATGGGCACGAGACCGAGGGGTGGATTTAACCATGGATATCATTTCTGAAGTTATCCATGATTGTGAGACTTGTGCCGCTATTAAGCAGGCGAAAAGACTGAAGCCCCTGTGGTATGGTGGACGATGGGATAAGTATAAGTATGGAGAGGCATGGCAGGTTGATTATATCAAACTGCCACAGACCCGCCAAGGTAAGTGCTATGTACTTACCATGGTGGAAGCAACAACGGGATGGTTAGAGACTTTTTCAGTGCCCCACGCAACGGCCCGGAATACCATTCTGGGCCTTGAAAAGCAAGTCCTGTGGCGACACGGGACCCCAGAACGTATTGAGTCGGACAACGGGACTCATTTCAAAAATGGATTAGTCACCACTTGGGCGAGGGAACATGGTATCGAATGGGTATACCACATTCCATATCATGCACCAGCTGCTGGGAAGGTTGAGAGATATAACGGATTATTGAAGACCACTCTAAAGTTATTAGGTGAGGGGACTTATAAAAACTGGGACAAGAACTTAGCCAAGGCTACCTGGCTAGTTAACACCAGGGGTTCTGTCAATCGAGCTGGCCCTGCACAGGCAGAATCCCTTCACATTGTTGATGGAGATAAAGTTCCAGCAATCCATTTGAGGGGAATGCTAGGGAAAGCTGTTTGGGTTACCCCTGCCTCAGGCCAAGACAAACCCATTCGTGGGATTGTCTTTGCTCAAGGGCCAGGACATACGTGGTGGGTAATGAGGAAGGATGGAGTCATCCAGTGTGTGCCTCAAGGAAACTTAGCCTTGGGGAAAAACTAATTGTATGTCCTAAGTTGTGTTTTTACAGGAAGCCAGTCACCAGATGAGAGAGAGACCTGAACTAAGTTGTTGCTGGTATCCGGTGATGAGACAGTCCAGTGATGAAACAGCCATAAATCAGAACTGTAATGGTGACTGAGGAGACCAAAGATCTGGACTGAACTGACATCGGTATTGATTTTCCAACGACGAGACAACTGTGCCGAGAGACCAACAAGAACTATATATATATATATGCAAATGTGTATATATATGCGCGGGATGTAGACGAACGTGAGACATAGGTGTTGCGTAAAGGAATAGTATGGAATAAGGGGTGGAGAATGTGGTGGTTTCACTCTAGGCCTTCCTGGAGACCAACTTGTAACCAGGAAGGAACTAGAAAAGTGATCACGGAAGTATTCCATGCTATTCCTTTACGTAACTTGAGGTATAAATAAGGCCAGCGGGAGGCATCTCGCTCTCTTCCTCTCCGGCGAGGTTCGAGAACGGCGGGTCCCTGTTTTGGTCTGGTTTATCTGGAGCTGAGGCCTACAGTGACTACCGTTATCTGCCACGCGTGAGGGGAGAGCCTTGGGCCGTGTCTAGCCATCCTGCCTGTTCGAAGGGAAGTGGTGAGATTTTTGCTAGTTTGCCTTCGGTCGGCTGGTTGGCTTGTTCGGTCCTTGCCCCTTTTTGTCCTTCTCCCCTTCCCCTTCCCCCCCCCCCCTTCTGTGTGTGGTATTCTCCTTTTGTGTATCTGTCTCATATGTAATATATATATATATATATATATTTGCTATAGCTTTGGCTGCTTGGTTTTTTTTTTTTTTTCTTTTTTCCCTCTCTGGGAGGCGGGTCCTTGTTGTCGAGTTTCGGGGACTTGGCGGGAAGCCAGCTCGAAACTTGTACAATGACGTAAAGCAGAAAAAAAGGAGGGGATTTTAAAAAAAAGCAGCTACAAACCGATAAAAAGCAGATTGGAAATTATTGAAGTATGCCTTGGATGAGCAAGGAAGGCTCATCAAGTCATCCAGCGCTGTTTTGCTTATTTGATTTTTATATAAATCTATAATAAAACTTTTTACTACTATATTTAAGCCAAGTGCTGATTTTTACTTATAACCCTTTCAGACCATTTCAAACTCCTACGTGGAGGCGTTTGCACCACAACGTGGGGATTTCCAGGACAGTCTTCCTACAGCAATTGCAAAATATCACTGTCGGCTTCCTCCGACAGAGGGATAACCGCCCGGCAGCTTTGCAATCCTCTTCTAGCAAAGAAAAACCACCGCCACCTTCCCGCCCCCAAAGCCAAACCAATACCCGAAAGCGCCTTTGATTTCCTTACACCAGCCGAGCAAGCCTTTCACCCAAACCATCCAGCTGACGGCCTCCAGCCCACCCTGCCCGAGAACAGCCCCGATTTTGCGCGAAGACGAAACATTGCCGCACCTCTTCCCGTTACCGCCCCGTTGCCCGAGGACGCCCCGGGGCGGGGGTAGGGGCGGAGACCTGCGGAAGGCTGCGGAGCCCCGGCACAGCCGAGCTCACTTGCCCGCAGCCCTGCCCGGCCGGCGGGAGCGGCGACAACCGCGGACACACCGCCCGGGTGGGGCGGGGACCCAGGGGCGGGGCGGGGCAGCCACACAGAACCCAGGTGTGCTCTGTCCAGAATCGTTCTCCTCGTACGACAGATTTTAAAATCTATCTATAATTTACGGCTGAAAAAAAGGAACAGAGTCCCACAGCGCTCGTGGTTTTTTATTATTTCAGGAACAGGAACTCCAAAACACAAACACAGCCCTGTGCTAAGAAAGGTGTTTCGGCTGTGGCTTTGGCATTATACGGTTCAGCTATGATGTTTAAGTAACTACGAATAGGATAAATATATAACGATAGCAAAAACGTTAAAGCTTTGTCATTCAAATATTGCAGAGGCACCATATGCTCTTTTGTAACATTCTTTGTTAAAGGACTAGAACCAGGAGACAGGTAAACCCAGGAGTCCTGTGGTGATGAAACAAAGGTTCTCACTCCACAAACACCCCATAAGGACATCTGGGACAAAAACATACTTTCATTTCCATTCCTATTAAGTCCTTGTCCAGTTAGTAGACAAAAAAAAAAACATCTAGGCAGGGTGCTCAGCAACACCTGGAACAGGCTGCCAAAGACTCCTTTCAGCTCTAGGGAATGGATCAAGGCACTAAATGGATGAGACTGGAAGAAGAAAGGGGAGTGCAGCTAAAAAGGTGCTCCAGCCTTGCCAGAAGCAAAAGTAACTTCTGCTCTCTCATGGGCTGTCAGTGCCTGACTCAGCCTCATGGACACTAAAAGTCAAGTCAAGGACAGGAGAAGCCTTTGCTGAGCAAGTGGGATGTTACTTCTGTCAGCAAGAACCTCCACACAGGTGCACAGGGAGAGAGGTGTTTTACATGGCACTTGCTGTGGAGCTCTAAGCAGCTCTGTTATTCTTGCCAAGCCCCAGATCAAGATCACAGAAGAGGGTTCAGGCACAGCTCAAAGAGGCAATTAGTGCAAAAGGAGTCACCCTATTCTAGAGAAATCTTTATTGTGTAATGACCCCTATCCTGCCAAGACATCTCCTCTTCAGGGAGAGCAAAACCTGCCACAGAACAAAATGCTGGAAGATTTGTTGTGCCGGATGAAGAAGAGGAAGGGATGATCAGCAGTGAAATCCGGAACGATCATTGCACAGCGCATCATCATTATTGCCGCTGTGGCAGCAGCTGCTTCAGTGCCTTCTTCGTTGACTTCCACAAAGGACTTGTGAACCACTTCAGAGAGCACCAGCTCATTGCCAGATGACATTCCCGAGAAGTCTGCCTTCCCTGAGTCAAATGCATCAGGCATTCCCATGCAGCTCAGAATGGGTTTCAGATCATAATCTTCTTCCAGTTTAAATCTGGGTAAAGACACCCTCACCTCTGTAGAGTCCATCATTTCAGGATTGATCCAATCTATCAGCTTCTCATACGTAAGTTCTCTTTCCAGCTAAAGAAAAACCCCACATTTATTTAGTTACAGTGAGAAGTGGGTCAGTGTGACACAAGCAAAAGAAGTGATTACTGGGTTTGTTTACATAGCACAGAACATGCATCTTTTTTACAGTGCTTTAGAGTGTCTCAAGCCAAAAGTGCAAGTTATACTTCTTACTACAGACTACGGCCCCAGACAAGATCATTCCCATATGCTTTTTTTGGTAGGGACAATAGGGATTAATCCCTTCCATGTAATGTTTACTTTTACAGAACATGTTACCATTCTTGGGGTTCTTTTACATTTTTACATAGGGGAAGCAATGGCACAGGAGCTGCTGGCCAAGTCCCAAAGCAACTGAACTCACTTCTTCTGTCTCTTAACCAGGGGTTCCTCCTTCAGGTCAACAGGGAAGGAAAAAGTCTGCTCATAAGGCCCTTCACCATCAGTGACAGAAAACCTTATTAAGAAACTTGTCCAGATCACAAAATACTCCAAACTTGTATCCCATCTCCAACAGAGGAGATCCTACCCTCTCCTGTGAGCCTACTGCCAGGTGCTGTGCCATAGACCATCTGCCAGCTGCTCAGAATAGAAGATCTACAGGAGAAGCCACAGGACTTCCTAAGACACCACCTAAATTCCCCCTCTCCACTTATGATGCTCACCATACCACACCTTCACCAGAACCACAGCTGACCTCTGCTCCTGAGGAGGGTCAGATCTTCTTCCAGAGCCTCTGCCTAAGGAGGCAGCACCCAGCCTGAGCAGCAGTGACATCAGGTGGGCTACCCACTTTGGGGGCAGGGAACTGTTGGACATTTCAGCTGGCATGGAGCATCGGCGACAGAATAGCTCTGGAACCAAACTGAGGTCTATGTGCTGTACCACACTTTCTTCCCTGGAAGGATACAGACTGTCTTTGTGTTCAGCTCAACAACTTACTCTTTCCAAGCCCGTGGATCCATCCTGGATTGCATCAGGGAGCAGGATGATCATGCTGAGTTCATTACCAACATAGGGCAGCTCAAGGATTTTGGTCTGCAAGTCTCCAATATAGGTCATGTTAAATCTATCCTTCTTGAACATCATCTGCACAGGCTTGGTCTCGTTCTAAAAGTTAAGAGATGTCATCAGTTAGTGCTGAGCTACTGTGCTGCTCTCAAAATACAGAGCAGGCAGCCAGTTATTCAGGGTTTTCGAGAATTTGACCAAAGAGAAATAATCACACACCACAGAGCACAGACACAGCACTGTCTTCTGTACATCACTACGATTCACTGAGATTTAATTCTTAATTACGAAGTTAGAAATCTCGGTGAAGATTCCTCTAAGGAAATATGGCAAATATGTGTCCTTGCCCTTTTCCTCCCTGAAGAACTAGTGACAAGCCCTGAACAGAGCCACTAAGAAGCAGGGGCTCTGTTCCTCGCTCTAAACGAGTAAAAGTAATTTCAATATATGGACTTTCGTTTTTACTTCATGTGGTTCCAAGTACTACAAAAAAGAAGAATTTAAATACTTTAAAATTATACTAAAAATACCAAGGAAGTGAGAGCATTATTTTGAATTATTACAAGCCATAAATTGGCTTCTTTAGCCAACAATGCGCCTGCAACAAATGCGGGTAGAGCCCTTCCGAAACCTTCGTTCGCGAAGCCTAGCCATGATGATGACAAGTCATAAGCATAGTAAGGAGGGCAGAGATTTTCATTTTCTGCTCTCTCATTCCATTTCCACATGGACCAACAGCTACTATTGTTTCAATCATTATTTTCCTCCTTTTCAGTCTCATTGTTCCAGTAGGTAGTATAGGGTGAGCAGTAACATTCCCTGTTGAAAAAGTGGTATTAACCATTTCAAACATTCTTGGGTATTTTTTACCACTGGGGGAGGGACACTTCCAAGTCAGCCAGGAGGGCTTCTGTTCTGCAGAATGTTTCTTTCAAGCAGGTGAGTTAAGGAAGGCATGTTAGCAGTTCTTATTCCTGACACTGGAGGCCAACCCAGAGGTGCAGGGGATCCTGAGGGGCAGCCATGGCCTGTCCATGACAGTAGCCAAGCCTTCCTCACTAGCCCTGATCTGCTTCTAAAAGCAAGACAGTATAACACGGAGGTCTTCACAGGAGATTTTTCTCACAGGAGATTTTTCTCCCATTTCTTTTGGATCAGTTCACTGGTAGAAATGCAGCAAAAAACCACTGAGTGAAGGCGACTTAGATATACAAATTTCTGGAGGAGTAGAAGTGCTCTTTTCTGCCTAAAACCTAAAGAAAAAATATTTCTCTGATAAACTCCAGTTTTAGGCCGAAATAAGCAGGTTCACTAATTCTGTGAAATTGCTCATGACACTGAAATAACCTGACAACGTTGCTCAAGTGTTCTCTCCTCATCAGTTCTAAGTCCTGTTATTACATAGATGGGTAACTTTCTCAAACAAAGAAGGGTTAAAGGAAAAAAAGGAGAGAGAGAATGAAAGAAATACTTGTTAGATTAAACTTTCTAGGAATTACGTGAAACTTTACAGAAACTCAACAAAGACAGCATCCATAGGAAAGGGAGGGGGCATAAGGAAGTTCATACAGCCTAACCAAGGTCACCCTGCTTGAATGTTTTTTCTTCAGAATGCTATGGGTTCATTTCAGATTAACAGCATATTCCCATCATTTCAGCACATCATACCTTGTTAATATGAAATGGTCTTTCTTCGGTTTCCTCTTTGTTGAACTGCTTTTCCCAGTTGCCTTTGAAATAGATGGCATTCACCAACACAAGTCTGGTCAGGGAATCAAGAACCCCCTCCGCCAACAGGTTCTGAATTTTACCTTTATGATACAAACAAACAACATCTAAGAGTTGGACACATATCTAATTATTATCCAGTAGACTATCGACACTACAATTAAGACACAAGAGAGAAGAGAATTATGTACCACACAGAGCAGGAGCTCAACAGTTGGGTTGTTTTAATTCACAACGTCATATCCTGAAATAGCTCTTTACCCAAGCCATGGCCACCAGGAAATACAGCAGGGCACTTGGCAAAGCACTCACCCTCAGTCCTTTCCTCTACCCAGCCATTGATTCGTTTTCTGGAATCCTCCCAAGCGTTCATGAAGTCAGTCGGTTCCAGTCCAGCGTGGTAGGATTTCTGACTCGACTCTAGAAATGACTAACAGGGACATGCCCAACAGATTTGCAGCAAGAGATCTGACTCTCACTCAGACATGCAGGATTCTTAAACACACCAAGAAAATCTGCCTACTTTCCTCCCCCAGCTTCACATAGAACACTTAAAGTTCTGGCTGACATTTATAAGATTTATACAAATTATTTGAACTGGGAATTGTCCCCTGTATGGTTTTAAGTCAAATGGTTTATTTACTGTGCTACAAACCTCTGTGTAACTTCACTGACAAATTAGGTGGCTGCTGTTTTTTGTTGTTTTTACTTTATGCTTCAGTGAGATAAAATATGATTTCTTTATAGGACTTCTGCTAAGAGATACATCATCCTTTTGTCCCACAGCCAAAAATATAAATGGATCACAAAACTCAGACAATGGCGAGACTGATGGATTTTACCCTATTCTGCAACATTCAGGGTATCTGAAAGGAGATTCCCTACCAAATTCAGATACCAGTCTCTGGCATCAACTATTGCATTGCTAGCCCTCAGCTCAGAAAATTTGGAAAGCAGAGCCCAAAGCCTGCCTTTGACCTCCAAACCAAACAGGTAGCAAGTACATTATACTAAGAAATGCCACACATTTCATGGTTACTTACTGAGAGAAACTCAAACGTCTTTTCCCCATAAAGCCGGTTTGCAGTTCTCAGGATGTATTTGGTGTTTGGATCGTTAATTTCAGAGAGAAGGGATTGATACCCATTGTGAGCATCCTCAGCTTTGTTCAGAGAAAGCACCTGCACAAAGACAACATCTTCAGTGGTTGCAGAAGTAATTAATTAAGGAGCAGAACAGTCAGCAGTATTGAGTTTTCTTCCCTCGGGTCAAGCACTGGAGGATCACAGAATGGCTGAGGTGGGAAGGGATCTCTGGAGATCAGAGTATGACTCCCTGCCAACCCAGAAAACCTATAGCCAGCAGCCCAGGACTGTGTCCAGATGGACTCTGAATAATTCCAATATGGCAAAAATATGATTTTGGAGAAATTTTTATAGATTTAAATAGTAACAATATAGAAGGTTACACTCCTCTTCCACTTTGCAAAAGAGGCAAACATCATAACACAAATGATTGATTGTTCATTTCATACTGCCAATTCATTAGTAAAACATATACCATGGGGTATTTGCCAACTGAGCAAGTTTAAAAAGAAAAACTAAACCAAGGTGCAGGTACCACTTTGACATGTAGACAGTGAAGATTTTTTAAATTTTTTTTTTACGTGCCTTGCTACATTTTGAAAATATATATCATCTGACAATAAGAGCAAACAAGAAAGCAGAAGGCAGTATTACATATAGCTAGAGATTCATGGAACCAACAAAAAAAATCCAAAAAAGAAACCAGGTACTTTTGAATTACATATGGAAAGGTCTGTCTCAAAAAAAAAAAAAATCAAAAAACCCCACCACACAACAAAACCCCGAAACCCAACAAAACTCTCTTAATTTCATACTGAAAGAAGCTCCCCCTAATGAAACCTGTTCTGCTTACACACACACACCCCAAAGGAAGAGTTCTGTTCTTACAGAGCAGAGTGACAACCCTAGCTAAGAAGAAGTACACATCGCAGACTATAAGACATGTCTGTTGCTCATATGCTCCCATCGCATTCAATCCACTAAGTTTATTTTCACCTACCTTTGTTATCTGGGCTTCGGTGTTACCTTTTGAACCCAGCAAAATCATAGACAAAGCAGAAGAAATACTAAAAGGGGAAAAGAATAGATTCTGACCACTTTTCTTCTCACACAGCTTTCTTAAGAGGTCCAGGGCAAAAGTGGTATTTGCTGCACACAGGCTTGCCATGGTTTCAAACCTGCCAGGTAAAACACAGAACAAGAATTTGTTGAACTAGCCGGCAAATGGCAGCATCAGGCTAGAAATCTATCACCTAAATGAAAACTGATTTGGTGGCACAAGCACCTTAAACCCCATACAACTCTCTTGAGTTATTTTAGGGATTTACTGTCTGCTTTTGTTTTTCAATCCCATACCTACGTATTATTACATCTTTTGAGATGATCAGGCACAACAGGATTCTGTTCAGAACTCACTGAAAGAAACCTCTCTTGACCTCACAAAGAAAATAATTTGCCTTTATACAAACACCAGACCAAAAAGTTAGACATCACAATGGCCAAATTACAAACTCTTACCTTCTCTAAGTCTACAGATCTTCAGCTGTACCTTCAGCTTACTCCTACGTGTGCATGCTGTGTTTTAAACAGCTGGGCTGGGAGAAGTCAGCAGAATGACTTGTCCTACAAGATAAAAAAGGAAAGAAAAAAAAAATAATTTCATCAGCATGACAGATTACAGCAATTTCCTACTGTAGTATAAAGAAAAAATCAAAGTCCATTTCAGTTCCATTTTATTGCCTACAACACGGAAACACACACAAGAAAAAACTTGGTGCTTGTCATCCTCATCTCTGTAGGTAGTTAACTTCAGATTAAACCACACACCTATAAAAAGAGTAATAAATACTAGAACACTGAGTTAACCACAGATAGGTATCATGAATCATAAGATAGCAGCTGGTAATAAATGTCTCCGTGTTTTGTTCTTCCTTTAAGGTAGGGCCTACTGTTTATACATTGCCAAAAAATACAAAGCCAACACCTTATTCATACTACTGATTCATTATCTCAGATAACTAGGTGAAAAGTGCAAGTTTCTGCATACATGGTTTCCCACCCAAGAAAATTTCTTGCTAAGAGCTTCACTATAAGCAGTAGCAATTTTCTCCTGTTTCTCTTCTCCCATAACTGAAAAAAACGCTAACCAAACAAAGAAACCAAGCAAGCTTAGAGGGAAAGAATCCTCCAATTGTGTCTGAAACATGTAACTTAAGTACTTTATAGCGTAAGTAGGAGACACATAGTGTTCATGTTAGCTAAAGTGAAAACCGGAAGTTTCCTAATATCCCAATACCTGCAGATTGCTAGCAAAAAAGTCTTTTGACCTCCAGGTCAAAGCACACAGGAATAGCGACAGCAGCAAGCACTTATTTCCTAGAAAGTTTCTGCAGGGCTTCCATGACAAGTAAGAATTTACAGACAAAAGGATGCAACTCACACTATTTGCCTGCTTCAAAACCAGCGCATTTAACCAAATTATAAGTAATATTGCAATAGCTGGGACACACGATTAGGAGTTATATCTGCAGTTAACTATGCTTTCTCTGCAGCTCAGGAATACTAACGCAACTACTGACATCCCTCCTATCAGAGGAGTTTTGGAGACAACACACAGTGACTGCACTTTAAGGACCTTATGATAAAAGTACATATTTGTCAATCAATTGTAAACTGTTTGCAGCAAACCCCTCGGTGCTCAGAAGGTTTGCTGACAGCAACTCATTCCTCACTCTGGTCTCCCCGTGGGCTCTGCAGGTCAGCAGTAAGGCACTCGTGCTGATGCTCGTTTCTGCATGCCTGGACCCTGTGTGTTCCTACCAGTATGAATTTGAAGCATTTGTCTCAGCAATCAACACCTACGCTTTAGAACAGTCTTTATGGACCACAAAGCTGTATCTAGGTTAGACAGCACACGCTGCAATGCGGGGCCATGGGGGAACCCGGTCGGAGCAGGGTGCAGCTCTTCTCCAGCCTGCAGCCCATGAGACATTTCCCACGAAGACTGTGACGTGGATCACCGTCCAGTGTACAAGGACCTTCCCCACCTTCTGTCAGCTGCCTCAGAGGAGCCACAAGACGACTATTTCAAACACAGAGAAAACTGCGTCTGCGGTACGGGCGCCTCTTTTCCCACCCTCTGAACCAAAGCAAGCTTCCTTGAGAAAGAGGGCTTCATTTTAGGATTTGGAGAGTTGGGAGCGATGTTAAAACATCTGCAGGGTAAGACCGCTGACAGTTCCTGGTAATGGCTCTTCCCAACACCCCTGTCCAGGGGCAGGCGGTGGGATGCGTGGGAGGACACAGCCCAACCCCGCCAGCTCTTGGCCCCTGTGCCTCAGCCGGAGTGGTGGGGGGCAGGGAGGAGCCTGACAGTGACCCAGCAAGCTGAGTCACTAGAAGCCTAGGGTTTGGCACTCCCTGGGGCGAAGAGTTCTTCCTCCGCCCCCGCCCCGGGTTTGGCACCGCAGGGCGGACGTTTCAGCTCGGCATCGCCGCGGCGCCCCCGTCGCTCCCACACACAAGAAGCGCTCCCGGCGCTCCGCCGCGGCTCCAGCTGGCAAGAAGCACCGGTGTGTAGGGAACGTCCCGAAAAAGAAAAAAGAAAACCACAAGGAAAGCAATGCCATACAGCACTACTTGTTGGTTTGTTTGTTGTTTTAAGGAAAAAAAGGGGGAGGGGGAAGGGGAAAGGGGAAGAAAAAAAAAAGGAAGACAAAAACCCTAAAACCAACGAACACAAGCGCAAGCTTCCCGCAGAAAACCTTCAGGACAACGGAGCCGCCGCACTCACCCCGCCGGCCTCCGCGCTCCCTTTTCCCGGAAGCAGAGCCGAGCAGAGGGAACGGAGCGCGGCCCCTCCCGGGATTCAGCCGGCGGCAGCGACACTCCCCCCTTGGCCGCGCCGACAGCGCGGTGCCGCGGCCCCGCCCGACAAAATGGCGGCCGTACCGCGCCGGCGTGGCCTGAGAGCCGCCCCGCTCCGAGCCTTTGCAGCCAGTGATTTTCCATCTCTGCCTCCCTCTCGTGGCAGAGCGTACAGAAAACACCCTCAGTCCGTGAATGGTTAATTATTATTATTGTTATTTATGAAGCAGGGGTGGTTCTGAGCAAAAGTCAGCTATTGCTGTAGCCAGAGACCGTACAGGCTTAACCCTTCCTCGCATTTCTGAGGTCTGAGTGAGGCAAATAGCCCTTATAGAGGTGTGGAGTATTTTATTTTATTTTATTTTTATTTTATTTTTATTTTATTTTTATTTATTTTATTTTTATTTTATTGAAAGGAATCTGTGGAGTGACGTTAGGCTAATTGGGAGCTGATGAAGACTTAGAGCTGGGACGTGGAAGGAAAGCAAGGGTGAGAGTTGGCAGGGTTTACCTCCAGCTGTAACACAAGAACCTAAAGGGCTAGAAGGATTAAGTGTTAGAAAAGGATTGGGTCTAATTGCTGCAGGCTAGGACCAGGGATCAGGGGCCCTGTCATGAGGGTGAGGGGATGGACTTTACTAAAATACTTACACACTGCTGAGAGGGGGAGGGATAGAAATGCCATAGCTAATAGAGATGAGGGCAGAGCTACCCATGATGGCCTGATCTGAATGAGAATCAGGATTGCTTGCTGGATGCAAAGCATCTGCACTCCCCTTGGCACTGCACTGATTGCCTCTTTAGGGTAGGTGGGAAGAGGAGCTGTGCCTCAGGCCCCAGAGCGTTTGGCCTGATGGAGAGAGTTCAAGTTCTGCTCCCCCGGGTTGCAGAAAGAGTTCAAGGTTTGGTATTTGCTTCTATGCTAGCAAGCAAGCCTTACCTGCTCTGCAGGGCAAGGGGTAACTGACTAGGGTGAGCAGAGTCTGCCGAAGAAGAGCATGGTTTGGGATTTGGTGTGTCTGATGAAGAAGATAAAAGGGTGGTCAGCTTTAAAAGTCATTGTTGGTGCTTTTGATCTCATCACCAAGACACCTGTGGCAGCTGCTGCCTCAGTACCTTCTTCATTGACCTCCATAAAAGCTTTGTGAATTACTTGTGAGATGAAAAGATCCTTCTTCACTGACATCCCTGTGAAATCAACCTGAACTGGGTCAAAAGCATTTTGTATCTCCATGCTGCTCAAAGGGGATTTAAGGTCATAATTCTCTTCCAGCTTCAACTTGGGCAGGTACAAATCCACTTCAGCTTTCATCATATTGGCTGATTTGGTCCATTCAGCCAATTTCTCATAGGTCAGCTCTCTTTCCACCTGCAGTGAGTTGGGGAAGAAAATAGTTGGAATGCAAAGGACAGAGACAAGACATGCACAGACCAGTGTCTTAATGCTCATCAAGAACATGTAAAACAAAACCGAGCTACCAGCAGTGAGTACCGATGGAATGTGCACCATATTCACAGGGCATGATCCTGCAAAGTGCCGAGTGACTTATACTCCTGTTTATTTTCTTAAAGGTGGTGAGATGTAGTCCTGAACCCTGAGAGTAGTTTATTATTTTTTCTCTGGTGTGAAAAATATTGCTGTTTTGCAATGTGTGACTCATAATAATAGGCGCTTGCTGTGTGTGTATAACTTTTCTCTTAGTAGTAATAAATAAATAGAATGCATGGGAACTGACGTACAAATAAAAATATGTTTGCCCTGATCTGTTTAGAATCTGAAACTGATCCTGGCATGGTCTTGAGTGGCTGTTGGCACCTTCTGGGTCAGGGTAGTCATCACTTAGTTTTAGAAAGCTCACCACAAACTATTAGGTGCAAATCCAGACTGCAAAGGACATAAAAATGAATTTATGCAGCCCTCAGGAGAAGATAACTGTAGGGCATGGTGATTCAGATGCAGTCCTTGCTTTCCTTTTGCTAGTCTGGCAATAGTAAAGAGGACACAAAATAGGCTGAGATAGTTGTGTGGACATAGGTTTTAGAAGTACCATATTGGCAATGTTATCAAATGCCCTGAATCCTAGGTTGAGAAATCATGATATCACAGTTTCTGAAACAAACATCAGAGCTATTCTATTGTGGATTTGAAGCTTGTTCTTCTTCACTCTTTTAATCTGATTCTGATACTCTTTCATAGTGTATGTGGTGCAACAATAGGCTAACTTTACCAGCTCTAGACCAGTAGTGTTATCATCTGGGAGGAGCACGAACATGCTGAGTTCATTTTCCACATATGGCAGCTCAATGATTCTGAATTTCATGGTTGTTTCATAGAGTACAAAAAAATTATCTCTCAGAAACATCATCTGTACAGGTTTAGTCTTGGTCTGTGAAAAAAATCAGCATTAAAAAAATCCTTTATACATTAAAGAATGATAAAATTTATTTGCTTCATTAAACTGAAAGCAAAAATTTGAAAACAAGTATGAGACTCAGCAGCATTTGGATACCCAGGACCCTTTCCTTTGGACAATATTGCATTCACCCCCTTCTCAAAGTCTTTGGGATCTTTATAAAAAGTCAGCATAGGCACATGTGCTAACTACCTACCAGCTGAATTCCATGTAATATATTTCTTAATTTAAAGTAAAGGAGTTAGCTTTGATAAGCAAGTAACTACTGTTAAGGGTTTCATGTTTTCTCTGAAAGGTTGTGTTATTTGAAATGAGAGCCTTGACGGAGGAGAAAAAAGTGTTGACTTCCTTCCTTCCAGGCAGTACTGATTGTCACACTCTGCCTCTGAAACATATTTTCTGTGACCTGTGCTGGCTTTTCCTCTTCCCCAAACTGCATAGGACTGGATTACTAAATGGAATTGGACTGCCCAATAAACTTCTGAATCCCTGTGCTGTGTTATGTTCACAGAGCTGTTACTAAGGGCTAAAGTTTTATCTGTTTGCAGGCTGCGCTATTCACCCTGTGAGTTAAACCCTCTCTGGGCACCAACGTATTAGGTTTGTGTGGTGAGGTTTTGGTAGCAGGAAAGCTGCAGAGATGACTTCTGTGAGGAGACATCAGAAGCTACCTTTGTGTCAGGCAGAGACAGTTCCAGCTGGCTCCAAGGCAGACCTGCTACTGTCCAAATCTGAGCCAGTCAGGGACGTTGGTATTGCCTCTGGGGTAACACATTTAAGAATGGGCAAAAACTGCTGGACAAAAGCAACTGGAAGAGCCAAGTGACAAAATGTGAGAGGAACAACTCTGTAGACACCAGCGTCAGTGAGGAAGGAGGGGGAGGAGGCACTCCAGGTGCTGGAGCTGAGATTCGCCTGCAGCCCATGGTGAAGACCATGGTGGTACTAATGTCCACCCTGCAGTCTGTAGATGACCCCATGCTGGAACAGGTGGATGTGCCCTGAAGAAAGCTGCAAGCCATGGAGAAGCCATGCTAGAGCATGGCACTGTGGGAGGAGCCCATGCAGGAGCAGGTTTTCTGGCATCACCTGTGACCCTGCAGTGGACCCATGCTGGAGCAGCCCATTCCTAAGGACTGCACCCCAGGGAAAGGACCCATACTGGAGCAGTTCTTGAAAAACTGCAGACTATGGGAAGGACCCACATTGGATGCGAAGGACTGTATCCCAGGATTGGGACTCCACACTTGGGCAAGGAAAATGTGTGAGGAGGAGGGAGCGGCAGAGACAACATGTGATGAGCTAACTGTAACCCCCATTCCCAGTCTGCCTGCACTGCTTTGGGGCACAGCTGGAAGAATCAGGACTGAAGCTGATTCTGTTGGGAAGGGAGGAGTTGGGGAAAGGTGCTATATATTTGACTTTATTTCTCATTAACCTACTCTGATTAATTGGCAATAAATTAAAGTTGAGCCTGTTTTGACCATAAGGGTAATCGGTAAGTGATCTCCCTGTCCTTTTCCTGACCCATGATCTTTTCATCCTATTTTTCTCCCCCTGCCTTGTTGAGTAGGGGGAGTGATAGAGAGTCTTGATGGGCACCTGGTGGCCAGCCAAGGTGACCCACCGCAGCCATCTACCACGATGGATCCTAAAACTGGACATGTAGTGCAGTAGGTTTTGGGTACACAGTCACATCGTCAGCACAATTGCTTCACTTTGCCTGGCATACAAAAGGTATTTGCACTCTTAATCCATGTCAAACAAATGCTTGCTTCCATTGACAAATAATTTTGCTTGCTTTTGACACAGTCCAAAAATATGCATGCAGTCAGCTACTGGGAATTGTCAGCGCATGATAGTTTAAATACTGTTAGCTCAATAATGTCTCCTCAGTTAATACTGAATAGGTCATACTCCCATACTCAGCTGAAATGACAAACTCCTGTGAAAATTCCCTGTGAAGTTTGACGCAACACCCAGGATGTGTGGAGAGAGCAGCTGGATCAGATCCCTTGAGCTCAGGGTCCCAAGAGCAGAAGAGAGTGTGTAAGCAATGCTTACAACTTGTGAAAAGTAACTTGGTCCCGTTTGAAAATGCGAACATGTGAACATAGAGACATTTCATCATGTCCTTAAGCTACTTAACTTACTTAACTTACTTTTCTTAACTTTAACTGTTCTCAGGTGTTTTGATACTGAGGACGTATTGATTAAAAATCCTGTTCTCATGGATATATGTAAATAAGATAATGCTGACTTATTTTTAGAGTTGCTATTCTCACTGAGTTTATACCATGTGCTCAGCTGTAAGAAGTGTTGCAGTGGCATATGAAATACAGGTTAAATATTTAGTCTTCAAAAATAGTCGTACTGACATATGACAACAGGCATATAGACAAGGAATTTACCTTGTTTAATCTGAAGGGCATCTCAGAAGTATTTTTCTCCAGAAATTTCTTTTCCCACTTTCCTTTGAAATAAATGGCATTTACTAAGAACAACACAGTGCGAGAATGGAGAGATCCTGCAGGCAGCAGACTCTGTATTTTCCCTTCAAAATCAGACAAACAGGACTGTTATTTGAGTGTGACTGTGAAACTTGCCAAGTTTAATTGTGACTTCTCTGTGCCTAACCCTGTTGCAAAAATGTTTGCATTTGGGAGGGGTTTTTTTAGTTGTACATTTCTATGATGTACATATGGTAAAAATGGGGGTTTAAGTATCTCTGTATCTTTTACCTGAAGAAGTTGTGTTAAAACAAGACCATCCCTGGAAGTATTCAAAGCCAGGTTGAATGGGTCTTTGAACAACTAGTGGTCTAGTGGGAGGTGTCTGTGCCCACGGCAGAGGGATTGGAACTAGATGGTCTTTATGGTCCCTTCCAAGCTAAACCAATCTATGATTCTATGATTAATTTTTTTAATATTGGAGCTTTGGTAGTAAACAGCATTGGAAAGTGGGTCAAGTGGTATAGCTTGAATGTTCTCTGAAATTGGTTGCAAGCAGCTGAATAATGCAGAAGTAAAACCCTCACTAATTGAGGACTACACAATATCTGCCATGCATCCCTCTGAACAGCAATAATTCAAAAAGGCTACGACATAAAAAATCAAAGAAAGGACCTTGTAAGGAGCAGAAATTAGGTTTGGAGATAGGCATTCTTCAAGCTATTTAACCATACTTTGCTCATCACCTCCCTCCTCTGAGTTTCCATCTTTTGTGGAGCATTGATTGCAAGAGCAATAAATCTGGAAATACAAATAATTTGAAAATGAGTCAAGAAAAAAAGCCATCAGAGTGATACTTACTCTCAGTTTTATTTTCAACCCATGAACTGATCTGTGCTCTGACTTGTTCTGCAGCTGTCTTAAAGTTAACAGCTTGTGACTTGGCATTGTAATAGCTTGTAATGAGCTGTAAGAACTTCTGAAAGATAGGATTTGAAAATGTATGCTTATTTAGTTAAATTCAACTTATAAAAGTGTTAGAAATAATAACTTTGACAAATTAGACAATCAGCTAATACATAATTTAAGAAAATAAAATTTGGTCTAGGTGAGAGAACCCTTATCTTAAGGTCTGATACATTCTATGCTAAATATTAAGTATGGACTGATCAAACTTCAGTCTCAAGGAAACTGTTACTTCAAATTTTTTGTGTTTGAAATCAAAGGTGCACATTTGTTATTTTGAAATATCCATGAAACAGACATTCTTCATCTTTTTTTTTTAATTTCTCAAAATGACATTTTTACATCATTTAAATACTTTTTTCCCAGCTTTGTGACATAGTGTTCAGTACAAGGTGGAAGAATAGTCTCATATAAAGTTGAAAAAAGGCTTTTAGTTTGCTTCAGAGGTGAGGAACCTGCCAAAAGTTTGTGAGGACAATAGGAGATCAGGTATAAAGGGGAAGTTCTGGTTGAATAAAATCAAGGCAGAAAAGCAGAATTAATGTTTGCATTGCTGTCTACTGTGAAACAATTAATGGAGATTCCCAGTAGGAAATCCCCTAGATTCTCTGTAAAGCCTAAGTACATGAGATTATGGAGAAAATGAACAATACACATTCAGGAGGACAAATTGCTAATTACTCAGGAAACCAAACACACTCCAAGATCAAAGAACAGTAATCTCATTTAAAACTACCTTCCAAGGAGCTGGAAGATGATTAATACGACGTCAGTTTTAAAAAGATTTCGAAGACACAGGTAATTACAAGCTCATGAGTCAGTATGGGGCAAATGAACAAGAATAGGTGTAGTGGGTGTATGAATTAACGTGACTTATCAGAGGAGTGTCAACAGCATTTTGTAATAGGAAATCCTAAATCAAAATCTGTTGGACTTTTGTGGAGGTGTCAGGAAGCACATGGGTAATAAGATTGAGCCATTACAGTCTTTTGGATTACCAAAAGGCATTTCGTAAGACTTCTCACCAAAGGGTGAGTATCTGTGGGACTGCAGAGGTAGGTCGTGTTTGAAAGACTGGAAAACAAGCGTAGGAGGAAATAATGTTCACAGTGAAGGGTTGTTACTACTGGAGTACCACAGGGGTATATGTGCTGGGGTCTGTGCTAAAGTATTTTTCTATAAAATCAAAATCTAAATGATTGCGTTAAAATTTATATATATATATATATATATACATATTCACAATTGATCCGGTGAAGTGTAAGGTATAGAAAGGGATTACTACTCTTTAGGAATGAGGTCTTGAAGCTATAACGGACAGTTGCATGACAAAAAATCTGCCTATTAGTGACAAAAAGGCAAATAAAAATTTTAGAGTTAGAAAGAAAGGAGTAGGCAACAAAAGAGAGGCTTCTAGCATGACACCATATAGCACTCTGGTGTGCCCCCTGTCTGAGTTCTCAATGCAGCTGTGACTTCCCCAATCTCAGGAATGCTAGAGTATAAAAGATACAGAGACAGGGAATGAGGGTGACCAGAGATGTGGAGAAGCATCCTTTAGAAGATAAACTAACCAGTAACGATGCCAACAGGCAGCAAGCTCAAAAGGCACAGGCACTTCCTACAATGTGGAAAGTGCCTGTGGAAATCCTGGTGCTGAGGGCTGAAGTACATTCAAAAGACAAGTCTGCAAAGTCTCGAAACAACAGCTTGTCAAAGTCTATTAAGTAGACATGCCTTCTGGTTCACAAAGTCTCTGAGCTGCAGATCACTTGGTGACCACAGCAGATTCTGGAAAAGCATCATTACACAGCATGCCTTTTTCTCACACACTTCCTAAACTGTTGCCCACTGCTGGAAAAAAATGGACCTCTTGTCTATCCAAGGATAGCCATGTATGGCTGTCTTCCTATTCTCACTAAAACCTCAATGCTATCATTTGGCATTTTTTTATCATCTCTATTGATAATCCCTCTTTATGTCAACATATTCTCAAAGATGTTCAACTCATGGGTAGTAATGGGTAGGTCTTTTCCTCATACAGCCAGTTAGCACTCTTCAGCAAGTAGGTGCTTCTCCTTTTGTTGATGACAGATAAGAGTTGAAGCCAGAGTGGATGTTTTCAGCTCGCTCATGCTCAGGATCCTTGGAAAGAGATACCAGTTAGTATGAAGTATTTTTTTTTCTGTTGCACTTGCTGTGTTTATTTAAATTGTTCAATTTTTTTTAATTAAAAACGAGTTTCAGGGAATTAAACACTTTTTTGTGCATGTTGCATGTTAGCAGCACTGCATATAACTGGATAAACTGATCTGTTTCTGCAGTGCAGTGTAGGCCTTTGGGGACATCAGCTGACTGTGCTTCCAGGAAGTTGAATCTCCTCATTTTTGTCATGGTCAGGCCTAATTTTTAGTTTCACAAGACCTTTTAGATTCGCAAGGACCCATCAATGCAGCCTGCAGTTTTTGAGGAGGTGTTCTATTGTGATAGACACTGGTGTCAGACCATGGACTTACCAACTATTCAAATTATCCCTGTTTCACATGATTTCTGCTGTTGCTGTTTGGATTGTGGAGATAGCTTGTCCTGGATGTCATTGTTGATGGGTTTAGGGAGCATGAGCTTTCTTTCCAGCTGTTGCCAGCTGTTGCTTTGCTAATGGAGGAATAAGTTGCTACCAGTCAGCTGTTCCCCGTGAGCTGCCTGGGTCTCCTCCCCCGTGTCATGTACCATGCCCTGGACACGAGACACTGAGAGTCTCTGCCACTGACTCATGGTGACCTGTCATAAGATTGGTGAGGTGACATTCCTTGCTCTGATCTTTTCTCACTCATGCTGAGACATGGGCTGCTAGGAAGGACACCTAGGAAAGAATTTGGTATCCAGAGGACACAGGATAGCAGAGGCTGAGTTTTGCCATGGGATGGGAACAGAATGAAGAGGTAATAGAGTGAAATATCTGGAAGACAAGATTAGACAGACTTTGCCACAACTTATGAAGTCAGTGAGTTGCTAAAATGAATGTGAATGTAATGATTCATCTTGGAAAATCACCCTGCACCATCTAGGGAGAGAATGATATAACCTCCTACCCCCTTTTGTTTCCAGTTTGTCTAATTTAATTTCTTTGAGCTTTCTTTTAGTTTCTATGCTGAAAAAAAGAAAGGCTTGTTCAAGTTTACAAGTTTAGTTTACAAGTTTACAAGTTTCAAGTTTACAGTGTTTAGGGAGTTCCTTTGATGAAAAAGATCTGGGCAGTTTGTCCTGGTGGCAAGTCTTTGGGGAGCTGATGAGCAAGGGTGAGTCAACATGCATTACCTTAAAGGGAAATTTTGTCTACCTGATGTGTCCATGCGTAAGAAAGGTGGAAGGGTCTTTACTGGGTAGGGCTGGAGTGAGGTGTGAATGCAGTAGTTGTTTTTTGCTAACACTACAGAGAGAAAAAAACCACCCTGAAGCTGATAAGAAATAGAATTGTCCAAAGCATATTAGGACAGTTGTTTTCTTGGTATTTCAACAGCCCAGCTAAAACCAAGTAAGCTGTTAGTGTCCGAGTTCTGATTTTGAAGGCCTGAGTTCATGAGTTTACAGTAATATTACCTACTTGTTCACTTTTTCTATATAAAGTTCTTAATGAAGTGAGACAGTAGATAAGAGAATGAAAACAAGCAGATGTTAGAAGGCAAAAGCAGTAGCTGCATTGGACTATTCCATTCTCAGAGATTTTTATCTTTAAGTCTTTTGTTGTAATAAATACCATCTTTCTTTGGTCTCCCTGGAGAAGGCCTTGTCTCAGATGAACCTTCTTCTCTTGAAGTCTGGTTAAAATGAAGAACCTGTGATGATGATAAATGTTCATAAAGACAGCTTGTTTGCTGGAGATAAATATGCCCAAGGGTTGTAAGTATTTTAGTTTTCTATGGTAATTCACCAGCCACGTGTAATGATAGTTAGTCTACTAAAGTTATTAAAGTTATTGAGGACAAGTTATTGAGGACTCTCCAATAAATTTCTATAACTGTATCATTACTATGTAGATTTTAGCCCCATTGACTGCTTAATAATAGATCAATATTGTGACTCAAATATGGTTTTATTTAGATAAGTGGTTAGTTTGTGCTTAGCATGGATTCTATTTTCAGATCATAGCAAAACACAACAAAAAGCATAGCACACTTCAGAATCTTACTAACATGACACAAATGTAAAACTCTGCATTTAATGTTTTTAAGTAAATGAGTATAACCTAAAAGAGTACAAATATTGAAAAGTTCAGCAAAAGAGGGCACACTGTCTCTCACAGGATCCTTCTGGACAAAACGTCCAGCATACACTGGATAAACATGTTACACAATGGATGAGCTATTGGCTCACAGGTCAATTGCAAAGAATTATAGTGAATGGGGTAACATCAGGCTGGCATCCAGTCACTAGTGGGGTTCTGCAGGGCTTCATCCTCAACCCAGTTCTCTTCAACATCTTCATTAGTGGCTTGGATGCAGAACTTGAAGGAATACTAAGTAAATTTGCTGATGACAAACTGGGAGGAGCCATCAACTCCCTCTAGGGCAGAGAGGCCTTGCAGAGAGACCTTGACAATAAGAGAGATGGACAATCACCAGTGATATGAAGTTTAATGAGGGCAAGTGCCAGATTCTGCACCTGGGACAGGGCAACCCTGTTTGTGTGTATAAATGAGGGAATGAGAGTCTGGAGGGAAGCACTGTGGAAAGGGACCTGGAGGTCCTGGTTGACAGCAAGTTGAATATGAGTCAGCAGTGCCCCATCAGCCAGGAGGGCACACCATGCCCTGGGGGGCATCAGGCAAAGCATCACCAGCCAGTTGAGGGAGGGGATTGTCCTGCTTTGCTCTGCACTGGTGTGGCCTCACCTTGAATATTGTGTGCAGTTTTGGGCACCACAATATAAGAAAGACATTAAGCTATTACAGAGTGTCTAAAGGAGGGCAACAAAGATGGTGAAGGGTCTGGAGGGGAAGTAGTATGAGGAGTGGCTGAGGTCACTTGGTCTGTTCAGCCTGAAGAAGAGGAGACTGAGGGGAGACCTCATTGTGGTCTTCAACATCCTCACAAGGGGAACCAGAGGGGCAGGTACTGACCTCTTCGTTCTGGTGACCAGTGACAGGACTTGAGGAAACAGCATCAAACTGAGTCAGGGGAGGTTTAGATTGGATATCAGCAAAAAGTTTTTCACCTAGAGGGTGGTTGGGCACTGGAACAGGCTCCCCAGGGAAGTGGTCACAGCACCAAGCTTGTCTGAGTTCAAGAAGTGTTTGGACAATGCACTCAGGCACATGGTGTGATTCTTGGGGTGTCCTGTGCAGGGCCAAGAGTTGGACTTGATCCTGATGTGTCCCTTCCAACTCAGCATATTCTATGATTCTATGATATTTTTAATACTCATATGTCTCCATTATTCATGGTAGGATTACCCTTTTTATAGATTTACTATGTCACAAACAAAGGTATTTATGCCACTCCTGTGCAACCAAAAATGCATTCAGGAGACCTTTCTAACTTCTGCATGCAGTATGAGGAAGCAGATATACTGCTGCCAGAACCCGATGATGTCTGGAAGCAGTGATATTATCTCCAGATTTCTTTTCTCTAGCATATCTTAGCTCCATATTATTTTATTTTAATAAAGTTGTCTCTTCATTACTATTTAAGTGCTGTATTAGGTGGATTATTCTGTTCAGAGGGCAATTAAAATGGAGTGTAGTGTTTCAAACAAGACCAGCAGTAATCTCTAATATCAATAACTTCTCTTTGGCAGACCCCTTGCTATGCTCTGGGAACTGTAAACACAAGCTAAATGTAGAGGTACTGCAGAGCAGGAAGATCTTGGAAATAAAGTGGAAGAATAGTGATTTCCAGTGCTGACCATGTAACTGGGGCTATTTCCTGTACCACATTACGGCAGGTCACTGTTCTCCCATATTGTTCCTTTCTGTTCCCCATAGGTAGAATAACAATGCAATTTACGTAGGAACCACATTGCTAATTTCAGAACTTACCTCAGCCGTCTTGGTTGCGGTGTCACCTTTTGCACCCAGGTGGACCATAGCAAGACCAGTTGCAATACTCCAAGGAGAAAAGAAAATGTTTTGTCCTTTGGAATTTTCGTTCAGCTTTTTGTAAAGGTCCAGAGTGAAGCTGTTGGTTGACACTGAGAGAGACTCCATTGATACACCTGAGACAAATGAGTGTCAGAGAGAGGTGATGACTACTTCTTCATGTCTGTCAAAGAATACAAAGCTGTTATTGGAGGATTGCCTACTCCCTCTCAAATACAGTCTGAGAGTGTCCCTGTAATGGGTAAAATACTGCACAGATGCCAAGTACAATCAGCTAATAGGTCTCTTTCTAAAACCTGCATTATTTCTTCCTTCCACATAACTTTCAGTGTCCTCGGCTTTTTTATTTATTCTTTGTCAGTTGAGTACAGTTTTAGCGAGAAATGTTTTCACAGTCCAGACTTGTTTCAAAACCCCATTCACTCTTTGCTTAATTTTCATAGAGTTATCCTTCGATTCTGAGAGAGTGAAACAAAATAGTTTCTCACTGTGCTGCTTTGGGCTTTTTTCTGTTTATTTAAACTTCCTGTGCTATTATTTTCCTCTGAAAAAAGCATGGTGAATTAATGTGATGGCTACTAGAGATATGTAGATTTTTATACATTCTTGGAGTAGGTAAACCCACATTTGGAATCTGGAGCTGGATTTGTTAATTGCTGTTTTTCAAGTCTTGTAGCTTACATAGAACTCCAAATAGTTCCTGTTGTAACCAACAACAAATTTTCTCTGGTTTCCTGGTGGTTTATCAGAATCTGCAGGTTTCCCATCCTTGTTCTGCTTCTTTTCTAAGTATGTTTTTACAGGACAAAACCAAAGCAAACACATAACCACAACCCCAGGATTAAACTAATTTTCTGTGATGGATCCAGAACAAACCTGTGCTTCTTATTAGCATATTTTAGATCAATCTAATACTTTGATAAATATTAGGATAAACTCAGAAATTTCCACTGTCTTCACCAGCATAATGACTAAAAACATATGGTGAAGTCAGTGCAAAATGGCATCAGGTGAAAGGTTAAGCATTAGATCAACAACAGCAACCAGACATTTAAATCTATCTTCACCCACAATTTCTGTGATTAAATCAAAAACTGCAGTCCTTAAAGAGAACTGCCACAAAGTGTCAGAGATGCCTGGAACCTCTGGGGTCCTCAAATTTTGTTTTCAAAGCTTCCTAGAATTTGCAACAGCTTTGAAGCATTCTTCAGAGGTGAATGCTATGCAGCCTGTCTCATGCCTAAGTATTTTTAGGATCTTCAAATGTGATATCTTACTGCTGTTCCTGGAGATGCTGATACTCCCAGAGCATATCCAGGGGACAGGACTGAGCTGAATATTTTTACATGAAGGATTTCAAACTGACATCTCCTTCTCCTGTTCCCAGAGAGTGTCTGGGGAGCAATCAAGTATTTCTCAGGCTTGAGAGAGAGAACGTGTGTGTATTTCTGTGAGGTTCCCTGGTCTCCTAACTGGTCTCCAAAGTCTCCTAACTTTGGTCTTCTGGCAAAGGAAAGGTCTGGATGCTTGATCCAGTAGTTATTTGAAAGTAGTAAATTAGAGGCTTGAACTAATATACCCAGTGCTGGGCATCCAAAACACTGTTCTAGAGAGTCATGTTGTCTTGTGTGTTCAATTCCATCATCAGTAGGAGGGTGTTCTCTCCTGGAGTTTGTTCTCAGTCCTCTGATCTAAACTGACCAGTAGCCTGGTGATTAAAGCACCCTTGCTACAGGTGAGGAGAGTTTCTGCCCTCCCAGGCTATGTAGGTTTTGCCCAAACTCGATTTGCATTCTGTCCATTGTGCCTTGGCACAGGGTTTCCCTAAGGGCGACACTTTGTACTAAATAATAAGCACTCCCTTCCTCTGCATAACTTCTATGCCATCTTTTAACTGCTCCATTCCAAAGAATTTGACATGAATTTTTAAGACTTCCAAATAAGAGCTAGTTATTTTGTTATAAATATTTACACTACCTGAAATCCTGAGAGAGAGAAGGGTTAAGATCTGTCTTCAGTCAGGATCTGTGACAGTCTGGGGGCAACGAGTACTTCTGGAAATGAAGAAATGTTTGCACCTCCATTTTCTTATCTACATCCTCTTCTTGCATTATTGTGTACGTTCTCTCATTTATTCCTAGTTCTTCTCTTTATCACCTGCTTTCAGAACTCGGAAAGAGGGGGAGACCTCCTGAATTCAAGGCCACTGTTCATGGATGTATATCCTGGAATGTGAAGGCCAGTATGCATTTTACCCACAGATGTCCTCCACAACCTTGGTGTTTGGCCTGCAAAGAGTGTAGGAGTTGCAGAAAGTGTATCAGCCACCCTGTGTTGGCACAAGATATGTTGAAATAACTTTAGGGCTTCCTTTTCTTTTTACTCAACAAACTGGGGAAATAAATAGAAACTGATCTCAAAGTTATGGCTAAAAGAGAATATTGAAATAGACTGTTGGTCTCTTTCATCCTGTGGTTAGATTTGAGAGGGAAAGCATTTGAATTCTTGTGGCACTCAGGTCAAATAAAACCCTTACTTTGTACAGGGATATTTTGTATTTTTGCTCTTCTGTTACAGAAAGCAGGTCACAAAGGAAGCTCAGAAGATATTTACACAGTCACCTGAAATAAGTGATGAAATGAGAGTGAACCCTGGGCTCATTTGAAATGGTGGATGCTGTTTTAAGAGACCGCTGCTCCTCACAAAGGAGGTGAAGGTGCTTTAGATACCTACAGGCCCTACACTGTACTGAGCTCATTATTCCTGTCTGATGGATTGAGGGATTTTGAATCATCCACCAAAAACTGCAATACTGCTTGAAAGTGCTGCTTGTAATGACTTTTGCAGAAACTGATGTCTAGGAGTAGAGAGCAAAAACAGGAGGATGTGTAAAACTGGATATCAGCAAAGGTGAAATCTAAAAGACTTACATGTGCACAAACGTTTTACTTTAAATTGGTGTAATTCTGATCCTAATTTGTGTGACTTACACTAAGTTGTGTTGATGAATTTCATTTGTGATCATTATATGTCTTTTCTGCTACATTTAGGGTTAGTAATGGCCTCTGCCCACTAGTATGACAAATGCAAAGTAAACCAATTATCATGCAGTCAACCTATATGGAAAAAGCATCTATGTAAAGTGTACAAGTCCATATATTAGTGCTTCTATTCACTTGAAATGTGACTGGTACGTATACTGCACAAGGTTTCAAGAGGGATATATGTGCCTCTCTTTCTTCCTATCTTTTGGTTTTAAGTGTGTGCAGCTTTCATACCAGGAATATCCTCTTAATTTCTTGCTTCAGAAATATATTAGACACTATTATATTTAGTTATGAGCCTAAGAAATGTTCTGCTATGTATCTTAATCTGCTGTTGTTTATTTTTTAGATAGAGTAATAGGAGAAGAAAAAAACCCAAGCAGTTAGTGGTACTATAAGCTGGAAAGATTGGCCAAAAATACAGGAAAATGAAGAAAGGGTACCCAAATTGTGTAGACACTCTTTGTGGTATGTACCAGTTGCTGCAAGATCCTTTTTAGTAATTGGAGTTACAAAGGGGAGCACATTAGCTGAAGAAGAACTGCTCTTGGTTTTGCTGTGCCAGATTGAAACAGTGAGATAAATTAGTTAATTGATACAGCCAGAATGATAGAAACAAGGTTTCACAGCATCGCAACACCTGACCTGTTGACCTCAAGTGGATTGACCTCTTACAAACGGTCATAAAAAAGTCTTTTGATAAAACTGGTCATTTTCCTCTGGCATATGGTGAAGTAATTTTGGTCTGTTTTGAAGCTGTCTTTCATCCCCATCTTGCTCAGCAGTGAGGTTGTATCTTTCTGCCTGTTCAATTTGACATATTCCCATACCTGTACTCTGTATATGGTCCACTCTGAGTAGCCTTTGGGGCGTCTGTTGAAGATCAGTTCTCTTACTGGTATGCCTAGTAAAAAGCAGCAGAATTTAAAATCACTCTTAGACTAAGTCCAAGTATGGATTTTTACTCTGCAGAAAATCCTATTCAGTTATGTCCCCTGGAAAGAGAAATGAAACTAACTATCACATCTGTTGCAATAAAACTGTAAAGGACTGGACAATAACTAACATGTAAAAAGGGGGTTTCTTGTGCCTGTTATTGATGGCAAAATAAAACCTTTAAAGGTATGAGTGTATTTGCTTTGAAGTTTGAAAGCAGTGGAGTTTTTATATGTCCTTGTCTTGGATACTAACAGTACACCAACTATTGTAAATTTTCTTGGTTTTGTTTTTGTGTGCTGTGTCTACCATTTCTGCTTGTCATGAAGTTCATCCATCACAGAGGTGTCAGGGATTATTTTATGAAGCTGATTTGCACTGGGACACAAAAGCTCCATCTTTCACTGAAGGATAAACTGAAAGCATGTTTTGACAGGCATGGAATCACTAAGTGACAAGCAGTCTGTGCTCACAACATCTATATATTGAGGCTGGTTTTATCAGTTTCGTGTAGGTACTTCTTTCTTTAGTTTTCAAAGTACTGTGACTTTTCAAGGAGGAGTTTGTGGACCTGAAGTTACAAATCTTGATGATACAGAATAAATTCAAGTCTGCTTGTAAATAGTTATTGGGAAATGCAGTTGTGTAACACCTATTACTTGGCCAATACCTTACAGGAGGCAACAAAAAAAAGAAGGAACCAGGCCCTCCTCAGAGGTGCCAAGTGAGAGGACAAGAGGCAATGGGCACAGACTGAAAACGTGAGATTCAATCTGAACATAAATAAACACTTTTTTTACTGTGAGGATGATCAAACACTGGCACAGGTTGCCTGGAGAGTTTGTGTAGTCTCCATTGGTGGAGACAGATATTCAAAATCCAACTGGATATGGTCCTGTTGCAACCTGCACCAGCTTACTCTCTTTGCATAGGGGTTGGGACCAGATGATCTCAAGTGGTTACTTGTCGCCTGAACGATTCTCTGATTCTGTAAGGGTTAGCCTGACTTGAGAGCCAGGTGCTGGTTATCATGAAAATAGTACAGGGAGGCACAAACAAAACAGCTCTGTGTGTTGCTTTCAGTAGATGAGCTCTGAAGAGTGTTACACCCATGAAAGGGTTTCTTTCCTTCTCTTTCACATTTTTCATCTGTATTCCAAGTCTTATACTGGAAGGTATACTCTTTAAGAAAAGCTGAGACTGGGAGTAGTTTGGTACCAAAAGTAGTCTGTTTGACCCTTTGCACCTCTCATCAAATGGCAGTCACTGTGCTGTAGTTCCTCAGAGAGCCTTAGAGGTATTGCTTTGCAGAGCCCTGCAGTGTGCTATGAGCGAGGAGATGCACAAAAATTGAAGTGGGAAGACTTTTCATTGGGTTTGGTATGGAACTCTTTCCACCTTTTGGGTAAACTTCTGCTCTTACATGTAGTGACCCTTCAGGCTGGATATGCACTATTTAGGAATTCCCAGTTATTACTTATTGTGGAATACACACAGCAGAGAGATAGGATTACAATGCTACAAGGCTAAGAATTAACATGCTTACCCACCCTGATGGGTCTTTGATGGCCAGGCATCACTTAAGTGGAGGAGGAATGGTCTTTGTTGCTCCTCAGAAGAGTCTCAGCCTTCATGTTGACAATGGTCACCTTCCAAATTTTCATTTTTTTAAAAAATTATATTTTATACCTCCTCATGCAAGTGCTTCTCCTCCTGAAGCCTTGCTATCTTGACTATTCTGTCCTAACAATAACTTCTCTGTTTGTGGTACAGTGAACAAGATGCAGGTATACTTTGTTGGGTGGAGATGTAGTTCCACATAGAATACCTTTTGGTGAGGTGGAATGAGTTGTAATTATAGGTGGAATTTTGCTGAGAGTAAATGCTTTTACAGTAGCCTGCATTCAAATGTTGTTGTCTTAGACAATGCTTTCTGACACGTAGTCAGAGTACCACAACGGCTACAAAATTTTGTGCTATTCCTTTTGGCCACAGGATACCACAACTGCTGCCCTCCCAAGCCAACAAGCATTGCTTGTTTGCTACTGTACATGGGCAGAAGGGATGTGTGGAAGATTCACTTTTATCTTGTTGCTTGTTTGCTGTTGAACATGGGCAAATGGGCTGTTTGGAAGGTGATCTTCTGGGCCATAGCCTCTAGTCATACTTCTTATTTCTAGTGTGTTGTGACAGATATGTTTAGTGAATGCCTAGGACAACATGTGGAATAACAGTATTTTGGGGCCTATTTGAAGTCCACTGGCATATTGGGATGGTGTGCGGTTGACTTGGAATGGCAAGAGTGGAATCATGCTCCAGCCATGCACATTACAGGATATTCTAAGAGAACCAAGTAGTTAATTGTCTTGAATAACAACACAACTCCTAGTTAATTTACTTTATTAAATGCAGGTCATGGTAAAATTATCAAGTAAAGCATCAATCAAAATTTCACTGGTGTTTCTGTGAATACCACAAATAGCTATGCTGAGATGCACTCATAAGGTACAAAACAAATGTTGGTCAATAACACAGGAAGCAAGGAAGCTGTGCAGATATTAGACAGGAAACAGGTATAATTAAGTAAAATTAAAAAGAGGAAGCAGATTTAAATTCTAAAGGATTTAGATTACATATCAGTAAAAGGTAGCAAGAAGGCATGTTGCTCATAGTTTTCTTAGCATTTTTGATGGTTGGAACTCTCAGCAACTTTAAACTACAAAGTTTAGAAAAATGAGGAAAAAATGCAAGATGATTAGAAGTCAGCAATTAAATGTTAAGGGCTGGACAATTTTTCCTCAAAGCCTAATTTTTTCAAGTAGCTGAAGGAGCAGGAGGGAGGTGTGATGTGACTATATACGTGTGGTGAGACAGGAGAAGGTAAGGAGCTTTTTAAGATTATTCTGGATTTGTATTAAATTTTGTTAATCCCCAACAGTCCTAAACTGGAAATTAACATAAGGAAATGCAAATTCCTCACTTCTCAGTGAGGAAAAGAGGTCAAACAGATTTCTACAAGTTCTTTTTTTTTTAATTTTTAGGGATTTTTTTTTCTCTCTGGGAGAGCCAAGAGAATGAGCTGCACTTCCCTTGAAGTCAGCATTTGACATAGGCTAGATGATGCCATCTAGCTAGGTGCAGAGGACTTTTATGACTCCACCTTACTCTCAAACAACAAAGCCAGAAGAGCAGGTTTGATACAAGGGAGCAAAATTCCACACTGTTTTCTGTGGAGGGCTGTCTCATTAGGACAATAGAAAGGAGCAATAGGAAAGGAGCAGTAGAAGGCACAGGATGGTTTCTGGGTGCTGCCTTCTTTGAGGGGGATTGGGGTGCGAGGAAAAGAACATACATTTTCAGTACAGGTGGCTATATGGCTTAAGGTTGAGATTTTAGCACTGCAGTTCACATTTTTCCATTGAACAGTGAACCTTGGTTGCTGTCTGAGAGCAAGTAGTAATTCATTCTAGGGGAGAGCAGAATCTACCAAAAAAGAGGATGCTCTTGGATTTGTTGTGTCTGATGAAGAAGAAGAAAGGGTGATCAACCTTAAATTTCAGAACATGGCCAACAGGTGCACTTGTTAGCTTTATAATGACAGCAGTAGCAGCAGCTGCCTCAGTGCCCTTTTCATCAACTGCAACAAAAGACTTGTGAAAAACTTTGGAGATCTGCAGAACACCCTTCTCAGTCATTCCACTGAAATCAGCATTGCGGCTGAAGGCGCTGGGCATTCCCATCCTGACCAAATTATCACTGAGGTCATATCTCTCTTCCATTTTGAACTTAGGTAGGTACAGATCCACAAGAGTTTCAGTCATCTTCTTGGAATCAGTCCATTCGGACAGCTTCTCATAGGTCAGTTCTCTTTCCAGCTATCATTTAAAAGAAAGAGAAGGAATTTGATGTTTGCAAGGGAAAAACAATTAATTAACTATGAATTATTCAATTTTATGGCAATGTAACGAATTAAACATTTTTTAAAATAGCGAATTTAACATTTATCTGAAAGCATGAAATAGAAACTGATTTTACTGATTATCAGAGACAGAGTATGCAACAAATATTTGAGTCTAAATACTGCAAAGTTTTGAGCACCGACCCTGCCAAATTCATTGCAAAAGGAAGACAGAGAGGGCACTTAACAGCTGCCATTCCCTGAGGAAGTTCTTTCCTCTCTTTTAATTCAGTCTTGCTGTGAAGAAAATTGCTGTGAGATTGACAGCTGCATTGCATGTAGTTTGGTCCAGTTCTATAAAAACAGGTGTTAACATTATTGCACGTATTACCATGACAGCTTTGAAACAAATGTCTTCCAGCAAGGTCTTTCACTGCCACTCGGTGTCCTGGGCACTACACCATGACAGTTCAGCTCTGATCAAATGGAGGAAAGCAATGAATGGTATAGACTCCAAGAATTTAACAACCTTGGAACTGTAGTAACTACAGTGGTAGATCTCATTATTATAGCAAATGCAGTCTCACCAAAATCTTGGTTTTTCAGACAGCAAACAAGTGGTGGGGGGAAGAGGGGCAAACAGAATGAGAACAAGATGGTAAACAAACTTCCAGGCCATGGGGCAGAGGGGTCTGTTATTTTAGGAAGAGGCTGTTACTACTTGTGCAGTACTGACCCTCCTGAACGTGCAGTGAGATTTAACCCTTAAAGAACACGTAAGATTGGGTGTCAGTCATGGGGCTGTTGAAGAGCTAAGCATCTGATTATGCACAGTGTTTACTCTCTTCAGTTCTTACCAAATTAAGGGTGCTCAGTGTGGAGGAACTTTCTTGGGATTAGATAAGTATCAAAGGAAATTAACTTAGCTAGTGGAGGGGTCAAACAGTATGACAGCATGTCCTCAGAAAGGGAGATATGGTTGCCAGCCTGCTTTTTTTTTTTTTAAATGACTGTGTGCTAATATAAAATGGATGTATCATGGTTTTTTACCTGTTCAAGACCTGTAGTGTTGTCTTTGATGTCATCAGGAAGGAGGATGAACATGCTGAGTTCATGTTTCACATACGGCAACTCAATCATTTTGAAGTTCATTCTTTCCATGATGAGAACTGGAAATTTATTTCTCATGTACATCATCTTTACTGGCTTGGTCTTGTTCTGTAAAGTGTTTATTTAAAAGGAAGAAATCATTCCTTGAATGGAAGGATGATGATGTCTCAGTACAGTGCAGGGAGCAGAAACTTTTATAAACAGCTTTTAAAACAGCAATTTATCATTCATTTTCCAAAGCTTTTCTTGACTGGACTATATTGTTCATCTTGATGTTTGTCCCAAATCTTTCATTGGGGGCTGAACTGACAGATTTTTCTCTTCCCCCCTCAAAATATGCACAGCAGCCAACAGAGGAGGGAGGAAGAGAGTTAGAAATGTCTGCAAGGATTAGGGGGATGGAGGAGGCATGGGTTATGGCCTTACAACACTGTGGTAGAGAAACAGCTATGTTTTAAGAGGAAAAATGTTGTGCAGTTTTCCAGTGGTCTCCTCTCTCTGTTGATAAAAAGTGGCCAGTTGATTGTTCCTTATGTCACAGCCCTTAAGCGAAGATAACACTAGTGTCAGAGCAAAAGGGCTCATGATGAAGGGAGTTCCTGCCAAGCAGTTGCCTTGTCAGGAGTATGTAACCTCCCTTAACATCTACGTCCCTTCATTCAGGGAAGCAGACAATGTATAGAGGTTAATCAGAAGGCAGAAGGTAGAGTTTGTGGAAAATGCCCAGAGTTCTTGTCTTTTAATGTGAATTCATTAACATCTCTTCTGGATACATGCCATTATCATTTCTCCTAGTCCCTTCCAACCATGCAAAACTTCAGGGTACACCGCTGCAGCTGTATTTGGTCAGGTATGTTTGTGCCTAGCTAGGTTACACACCTCAGAGGTCTGGGTACCCTACTCAGCCGTGACGTGCCATGTAGTTCTTGTCCATGAAGCCTGGGCTCTCAAACCCATGTTTTTATGATCTAGTCATTCTTAGCACTCTTGCAAAAAGAGCCTAAGTGACTAGTACTTTTGGAAACAGTAGCTGTTATCTGGAGCTCATTAACATTTACCTGAGCATCTTAATATTTCAGTGAGCTGAGCACTGACAGATTTTGCTGTAACCAGCTTTTCACAGAGGGTTACCGCATGGATACCTAAAAAACTTATGATTTCAGCAGTTGCTGTTGTCACCAGGTTGTTTACAGTAAGAAGGACACAGGAGGAGCTTACCTTGCTCAGTCGGAAGGCTTGCAGATCTGTATCTCCTTCCTGAAATTTCACTTCCCATTCTGCCTTGAAGTAAATTGCATTTACCAGGACCAGCTCGGTGGCGTTTGACACATCTCGTGGAGTCAACAAGTTCTTGATTTTGCCTTTTGAAATCAGAAGAGTCAAATTTCATTCCAACAGTGTGAACATTTTGATCATTTTTTCCCTCAGTTCACCTTCTTAGTAAAAAGTCCTCAGTGCCCTGCTCCCTAAAATGCTCCCTAACATAAATCAATTAATTTCTTTACCATTTCCAAAGCGGTTTGCTGTCCTCCTGGCTAACTGACAGGGATTTACTCCTTCCCCCAAGAATGTCACAGCTTTGTGACAAGCAGCTAGAAGCAGAAAGCCATATATTGCCTCACCATCTGGTTGCACCAGGTAGAAGGAGAATAGCACCTCTGGCCAGTGCAGGATGGCACAGCTGGGCAGGCATCCCCACCCGCCCTGGAGCACACTGGCAGGCAGAGCTGTCTTTCCCCTCTGTCTGCTCAACCAGTGATGCATGGGTGCAGTGCCAGGACAGTGGTTGTACTGGAGGATCAGCTGATGCAGAGCACAGCAGAGTCAATGGGAGTCTCCCCAAGGATCTCACTGGCGTCTGGATCAGCTATTTGAAGCTGTTTAAATGTGCTGCTTTTCCTCTGTCCTCCCACCACATCTCTACTCACTGTCCACATCCACATTGGAAAGCATGACCTGGCTGCTGCAGTAGCACCTGGGGAAGCAAGGACACCTGCCCAAAGGAAATGGCAGGCTGACTTAATGGGAGAGCAAAGATGCTGGGGTTAAGCTCAGCTTACCCTCAGTTTGTTTTTCAACCCAAGCGTTGATTTCCTTTCCAGACTGTTCTGGTGCTGTCTTAAAGTTAACCTTCTGTGGTTCTGCTTTGTAGTAGTTCTTACTGAGCTGTATATATGTCTGAAAAATAACAAAAAAGCAACAAAAACGTTCTGTGCTAGAGAACTACGCTATTTTTCAGTCCCAAAGGGAAGTTGTTAGCTCTTGTACTTGATAGGCTCTTGGGCCTTGAGGACTGCAGGATTCTCCTTATTGCACTCTCTTGGACTGTGGGTTAACAATTAAGAAGTAACTGAAGAACAAAAATTTCCTGTATTTGTTCCAAGTTTTATCTGGAGAAGTGACAAGGATGCACGCATCCCATGGATGTGCTTAATTTTTACAGTTTTGTCTATCGGGGTTTCCAGTACTAAAGGCACGTTGCATGAAAGGAATCCCTACAGTACAGTCAAAGGGCAATGCATCCTTAAATTCTGTGAGCAGACCGACTGGTATTTTTTAGTTAAGTTTATCACTGGAGTCCAGAGCTCTCATTTGCAGTATTCAGGGTCAGCTTCAAACCTGTTCTATTAATGGCAAGTAATTGAAGTGAGAAATATTTTTTGCACCTTTTCTTACTCCTCTCTGAGATTTAACTTACAGGTAATAATAGGAAGCTTTTTTCCATGTAAATGCGGTTGGCACTTCTCAGCGAGTAGGTGCTTCTGGGTTTGTTGATGGCAGTCAGGAGCTTTTTGAAGCCAGAATGGACATCTGCAGCTTGCTTGTTCTCAGGATCCTTGGAAAAAGAAACCAAACATTCAGCAATTGCATTTTTGCATGAAGCTTTCAAAACATGCTAAGTGATGTATGTGGGACAGGAATTTGGGTTCCCCTTTCTTACTCATTATTTTTTCAAGTTTACCATCAAACCATATAGCAAACCTTCCATACTATCCCAATGACTTGTCCTTTCATACTTCTCAGAGTCTGAATGAGTGATAGGAACTGAATTTCAACCTGTTGTGAAGTATGGTGGGCATTTGTACTTTAAAGGGGGGTGCAGACAATAAATACTGGACTCCTAAAGCTGTATCTGAACATTTAGATTTGGAGGTTCTTTGTCTTCGAATTTCAGCTCTAATAGATACCATTTTTCTTCTCTTCGGTCTCCCCCGAGAAGGCCTGGCCACAGAAGAAGAGGCTTCATCTCCTGCTGGTTGAGTAAAATGAAGAACCTGCAAGAAGAGTTTCTAAAGATAAGAAACAGGCATGGAGGAACTGGTGTTACTTAAAGACAAATGGGGATCAAATGGTTGTCTTGTTTCACTCCTTGTGATAACTCACTGTGCTGTCTGCTGCTTAGGTGACTAATCAAAGGGAAGCTGAAGCTCTAGTATACATAAATTCCATAGAATAACAATGATTAGCTCTGTCCCTCTCCCAGAGCATCAACACAATGCTTCTGTCTGCACACTGCAAGGCAGATCTCCCTTCCACAGCTGTTGCTTCCAGCAACAGGAATGTGTTTGTACAAGCCCAAATTGTTCTCCATATGATAATGGTACAAAGGCCTCTGAATAGGAGTGCAGTGATGCAGAGGAGAGTGCTGGGCGGTGCTGAGCATCACAGCTCCTTCTGAGCCAGCAATGTGCCTATGGGACATTAAGTAGGATTGGGTTTGGGGCTGTGGATATACCAAAACCCTTCATATTTTCCTGTTGGATTGTCAGGCAGTTGTTTAGGAAAGCATAAATCAGGATAGAAGGATGCACCCTGGCCAAGATAGAGAGGGGGAATGCAGGGATCTGCAACCCTCCTACCAATTAGTTAGGAGCTATTGGCATCAGCTTTTTGCTTCACAATGTCCCATCTGTGACCAAGTCATAGAATCATAAGATAAATTAGAAGATGTCAAATAATTTAGAAGAAGTCAGGTTCAGAGAACCGCTGTGCTCAGCATGTGATACCAGCAGGACCCTTTCTCTTAGTGGAGAAGAAAGTGACATGCTATGACATTAATAAAATTTGCCATTCACTTGTTATGTGCCTTGGTTCCTTGTCATTATGGTGGCAAGTTTTTCTAACACTAAGATTTGTAGCTATTACAGGAGCTAGGTATTGTATAGGGTGTATGTTTTATAGAGCTACCTACCTCTGCCATCTCAGTTGCTGTATTCCCTTTTGCACCCAGGTATGTCAGAGCCAGAGCAGCTGATATGCTCCAAGGGGAAAAGAAAATGTTTTTTCCCTTGTTGGTCTCATTCAGCTTGTTGAAAAGATCAACCGTAAACTTGCCAACTGAGGTTGAGACCACTTCCATTGCTACAGCCTGGAAAGAGGCAACAGACAGAATTGTACTGTTTGAATGTTTAAAATTTTGTACACAAAACGTATTAGTAAGAAATGTTACATGTGCAACACAATGCATTGACATCAACAAAAACTAATAGCATAGTTGTGTATTTATCTTCCACACAGATACTGTTTGCCACCTACTAGGAACAGTAATTTCTTCTAGTTTTTTTGCTAGCCAAATAATATTTTCCTCTAACTATGAATATGTCCTCTTTTACAGAGCTGCAGTTTTCTCCTTGTTTCTTTCTGCCTTTGCTTTTCAAAAATATGCAATTTGTAAATTGAGTATTTTTCTTCCTTTTTATCCTTAACTAATGATTTATCAAATTATTGTTCGCAGGGGACTGTAAATGCATCTTTAATACATTGATTCACAGCATGTCTGAGTTTCCCACTGTTTCATTTTGGATCTGTATAGAACTGAAAGCTGATTCTGTGAAAGAATTTAGGCATAATTCTTAGGCTCATTTTCTTTTTCTGATCAGCCACCTATTCTGAATAGTATCATGAACAGCAAAGCTGGTATTTCCATTTAGATTGATGGAGTTCTATTCATTATGTGTACCTACCACCCCTTCTGTATGTTCCAGCAGTTTTATTTTCCCCAGAAACTGGCAGATGAGTGGAGGTTATAAGCACTCCAGACTTTAGGATATCTGCCCAGTAGTACCTGCCTCATGTCATTTTCTACTCAGAAGACCAAAAATGTTGATTTTGTTGTTGTTGTTATTAATATTTGTATCTATGGAATGGAGCATCAGAAACAGTGGAGCAATCTCTGAAGTCTACAGATATTTATCAAGTGTTTAATTGCCAAACCACTACAGTTCTTCTGGCAGCCAGTATCCTGTCAGTACCACATCTGGACCACTGAGTGATTTTCTCCCCTTGGAGAACACAACCAAGAAAGCATCAGGATGGAAATTTCTCTGTTGTCTGCTAATGAATACTCCTCTGAGTCCCTTAATGTGCCTTCACCTGAAATATGGAACTCCTTTATTGAACTGAAGATTTTAATTGAAAGGCAGTCACTACCCTAAGAAAACTTTCCTTCTCGTAATCAGTTCTGTCCCAAATTAGCAGTTTTCCTTAGGCTCAAGATTTATTTTGTCTAATGGTCAACATTTAGGAAAACACGAGGCAAGAATTATGCACTATAACACTGGTATATTATACTTTATCTATACAGTCATGCATGGCACAGATTGCTTTTTAAAAGCATTGTAGAAGTTACTACTCAAAGTTTAAATATTTTAGTTTAAATATTTACCTCTGATCCTGTGAGAGAGAAGACTTAGGTCTTGTCTTCAGTCAGGTTCTGCGTTTGTGTGTTAAGCAATTTTTAAATTAAGAAATATAGTACTACTTGCACCTCCCTTTCCTTCTCCCCTACATCCATGTTGTTTCCTTCTACCCAAAGCTCTTTTCTATCCCCAAAAGATCTTGCATAATTTTGGCCTCTTTGTTAACCTTGTCACTTTTCAGTTTTAGACATTTCAAAAGAACAATGGAGTTAAAGTCTCAGCTCTGTTGTTACACCACAGTAGTCTACTGACAGGATAGCAAAGCAGGTCACCCATTCCAAAGGTTTTCTGGTGTTGTGGAGAAAACAAGTCTGTTGTTTAAAATAAGTGACTAGCAAAAAGGTTACACAATACTTTTTTTTTTTTCCTGGATTTAAGCAGATATTGAAGGCCTGATTCTTCTCTCTGGTTTTGTGCAGCTGTAACTCCTGTGTTTCCAATTCAGTACATCAGCATAAAACACCAAGCTTAGTGATTGAATTAGACACTGCTTGTCCAGCTTCAAGTTGAAGATCATTAATAACATAGGCAGACCCAAAGCCATGAAGGACCATGCAGAGGGTAAAGGATGGACACCCCACTGGTTGCGTTGGTGAAGAAACCTCATTGCAACCATACATGGGAATCATTTGTGAGAAACACTGCAAAACACTGAGTTACTGCACAGTACTTACATGTAGTAAAGGGGGACAAGAATTGAAACAACCACACTGGGAGGGCTTGAGCAAGGTTGGAGTGAAAACAGACAGTGGAGGGAAACATGGCACTGCAGTTGTCACTCTACAGTCCCAGAAGAGAGACAGTGGTGAAAGAAGATGGTGGCAACTACTGTGAGACCAACTGGAGGACAGGGGAAGGTGAAGGAAGGGAAGGAAATTGTGTGCTAAGCATTTTGCTGCAAGCCTGATTACAGGAACAGAGTGGGTTAAGAATTCTAAAAAACGGCAGAAATCAATGTTGTGCAAGGCAGTGGAGAAATGCCAGAAATTAAACAAGTGTTTGTTTTAGTATAATGAGTAAGTCCTCAAGAAATCTGGATAGCTGAAAGGTAAGTTGAATGGTTAGGTGGTAGGAAAGCCCAAGCCAGGAGACTTCCAAGTCCCAAAGAAGTATGCTGAATGTGAGCAAGCTAGCTGCCTTTGCTAGTCAACATGCAAGGATGCCAGGCAGGCTGAGAAAGAGAGATGGCAAGGCAGAGTGGCTTTTGACAGGAGAGAAAAAAATCACACATATTCATTGAAAGAGACATCCAGAAGTCAATCTCCTGCTGGGAGTAGGGCCACCAGTAGATAAGGTTAACCAAAGCCCTTCCAAGGATGGAGATTACATAACGTTTCTGAGTAACCTTCTCCAGTTCACGGCTGCTCACCTTGGAAAAAGGTTGTTCCCTAATATACAACTCACCCTTCAAGCGTTGTGGCTATTGCCACTTGGTAATGACCTGGCACTGAGAAGAGGACATTAAGTCTGTCATCTTTGCAATCGTGCTTCAAATATTTGAAGAAGAGTGAAAAGGTGTCTCACATTTCCATTGACTTTAAAGGCCTGTGAGTTTGTTTGCATGTTGTCATGATTTTGTTTTTCATTGGCCTCCCAGGTGTGGCTTTCCTGTCTTTATTCCCAAGATACATCAGGAAGTGCTTAAGATGTTTATCCCTGGGGACATGAAGCTCTTGTACTAGTGAGGGAAGGCAGAATTAGACCTGAATTCATGGGGATCCTGTGTCATGTTTCACAACTGAGACAGACAGAAGGCAGTGCTGCTGGGGTTGTATAGGGGTAATGTAAAGTACTTGCTTCATTACACTTTTTCTATGCTCCTTCCCCTTTGGAAATCAGAACCAGAAGGAACCCTGGAAGCAGTTGAGCACTTGAAAGAAAAGAGAAAGGACTCAGTGACAGTCAACAGTCTCTTCTCTACCAGGAAAAGGGAGTCTTACTGTCTCGAGAAGATGTGTTTCTAGTAAGATGCTGTTGGTGTGTGCAAGTCCATTAAGAACACCAGTCCTTTGTTCTCTGTTGTGAATTCAGGTAGTCAGGAGCACTCACAGCAAACATGCAAGACTGATTAGAACACTTTCTTAAGAGAAAGAGCTGTGACAGGAGTAAATACAATCTGGGGGATTTCGCATGTCATCTTCCTGAAAGCACTTAGGGAGTACGTATTACTTGTATTAAATTAGACTTAATTCTCCCATTTGATCTTGCCTCAAAACAGCGGAATAAGTGGCAAAGCAAAGTGAGAGCAAAGCAGTGCAGTGCTAGGCTGGAAACAGTATTGTATGGATGGAAGGTTACAAAGGAGAAGGTTTCAAGGTTTTCTTTTCCTCCAGTTCTATAGTGTTATTCAATATTTTCCAATTGCTGTGGGCCAGAGATTAGAAAGTACTTGTGTTAGCCTCTTTTCATGCAAAAGAAAAGAAGCATCAGTACCAGGAACACAGAAGATTTTGCAGGTTTATTTCATTATCAGCTCTACCAGGCCACAAAGTTGGTAAAAAAACTGACAAGAATGTGGGTGAGGTAGCCCTCCTGCAGGGATCAGCATAGTGAGCTGAAACTAATGGAGATGGAGCAGCATTCTGGAGGAAGATTTTCTTTTCTTCTTAGGTACCAAAACACATATATTGAAAATTACTTGCTTAGATCAACTCAACCTGTTCTGAATGGTGGCAGTTCTGGTTCAGAAAGTACTGAAAAGACACAGCAATATTGTTCCATGCACAGTCTGGTACTTACAGGGTAAAGCTAGCATTTTCAGGTTCTTTGGACAGGAAAATGAGCCAGAAGCATGAATTCATGGTTATTTTTAATATATGCTCTCTTCTAACATTGAGAGATTTGTCAACAGTAAAGGAAAGTTAAGAAGTGCACAGACTATTGAGATGCTCTTCGTGGTGTGTATTTTGTTCATTATTGTTGTTGCAATAACCTGTTTAGTAATTGTTGAGTTTCTAGGGGGAAGAGAATCTTCCCAAGAAGAGGATAGTCTTGGTCTTGTTGTGCCTGATAAAGAAGAGGAAAGGGTGATCTGCCACAAAAATAACAGTAGCACCAAGACTTCGTGATGCCAGTGCTGCTGAACTGGCAGCTGCTGCCTCTGTGCCTTCTTCATTGACTTCCAGGTAACACTTGTGAAAAACTTGTGACAAAAACAAATCACCGTCCTTTGACATTCCTGTGAAATCAGCTTGGCCTTCCGTGAAGGCATCTTGTATCCCCATCCTGCTCAAAGTAGATTTGAGGTCATATTTCTCTTCCAATGTAAACCTTGGCAGATAAACCTCCATTTTCATTTTCTCCATTAGTTCTGGGTTGGTCCATGAAGACAAGTTTTCAAAAGTCAATTCTCTTTCCAGCTGCAGTTAGTAAAAAGAGAATTAGAAAATTACAGAATGTTCTTCTCTTTTCTCAAATGGAGGGCTTTTCAAGCTGTCATAAGCGTACAAGAAAAAACAGTAGGGAAACACCAGTTTGGAAATCTTTTTAACTAAACAACAGTGTTGCTTATGGTTGGTCAACACAGTATTTGAACTGTTTTTAATAATTGTCAGGGAATATAGCAGGGTTAAAATAGGTTGATTTTCTGTTCCCAGTTCTGTCTTCCCTGCATTTTAGAATTTATTGAAAAGAGCTTTTTTTTTTCCTCTCACAGAACACCCTATAAATGAAAATTTTTTAAGAGTTTGTTATCCAGAGGCATAATCAGTCTTTTTACAGAAGGTGGCAGTGTCCATACATACCAGTTCTGGACATCCTGAAAAGTAGCAGAGGCTGCCCAGTTTTTGGTGGTTTTTTTTTTTTTTTAGAATGAAATCATATCTGTCTAAATCAGCACAGACAGTGGATCTCAACAGGGCTGGCTGGCTGTCCTCATTTTTGTTGGGCAGGAAGAGGAGCAATCTTATGGTTTGGGTTACTTGTTTCCAGGACTGAGCAACACTGGAAAGCACAGATGTGCTAGCTTCCAAGAGTAAGAAATCTAGTCTGAGCTTCAAGAGGTTCAGGTTCACAGTACTAGACCAAATTTGAGATTTGCTTTACCTTGAGCCTGATCAGTGCCCTCCTTCCTAGAAACATGACTGCAGCCTGGTCTTTTACCTCACACATACATAAAGTAAGTAAGTTAATGAAACTCATTTTCTCAGATGATTTATGTTCTCAGTTGTTTTACCTTTTGTAAGCCGGTGAGGTCACTTGGTAGCAGGATAAACATGCTGAGGTCATTATTGACGTATGGAAGCTCAAGAACATCAGCCTGGACTGATTCTACGTAGCTTAAGTTAAATTTGTCACTCAGGTGCATCATCGGCACTGGTTTAGTTGTATGCTGCAACAAATCAAATTAAATGGTTTCCATTTGTACTCTGAACACTAAAGGACTGAGTTAAAACAGCACAGTGGATGATTATTGTATTTACTCTACAAGCTGCCCAGTGTATCTGAGATATCCTTATGGCTAGGACACAGGATCTTCAGAGGACCCCTGGTCTTCTGGAAAGGCACTTGAAGGCATGATAAGCTATCTGAGCTGTCTCAGATGACTCCCATTATGGGAAGCTGCATTTCACTCTGATTCGTTGTATGGTTAAAAATAAATATGTAAAGAACTAACCCATACAGTTTTGTCCACCTCTTTGTTTTTCCTGCTATCAGAGAATGGAAGCTTTTTTCAGGTCAGCTTCTGACAATTTTACTTGTGGCTCAGGGCCTACTATGTGTGTGCAGCCTTAGTGCTGAAAGTGTGGTGAAGAAAATATACTGTATGCTTTAAATGAAGTAACTATTATGCCGCGTGGATTTAAAGTGTGACAGGAATTTCTCTTTCGGTTTTCTCCATCTGCAGTGTAGCGTATAGGGCAGCATATTCCCATACCGTGTTTATTCTGAAAGGCCTTTGCCTGGTAGCTTCAGCTTCAAACTTTGTTGCCCAATTTCCTTTGAAGTAGAGTGCATTTATCAGGACTAGCCTGCTGAGTGAATCTATGGATCCAGGAGGCAGAAGATTTTGGATTTTACCTAGAGAAAATAGAAGGACATTCACACATCTGTGTACTTTTACTGTTTCAGTGCAAGTGTTGGCACAGTTTCTGTGGTTATAAGGCAGGGAAATTGTAAGTGCTGCCATAGCACCCATCTATTTTGAGATTATTCGCAAATATATTGGGCTAATCTTGAATTACAAAGAAGAACAAGCCATATTTCTCCCACATTCAGATGGAGGACACTAATTTTAGTAAGGCCTTGTAACTAGATGAGTACTTTAGGAAAAGTGATCTGATTTACCTTTCTGAGGTTAATTGTTTACCTGCCATCGGCCCCTTGGGTAGAGAGAAAGCAAAATGGCTTCTTTTTGATTTGGAGAGGAGAGGCTGGAACTTACCTTCAGTCTGTTGTTCAACATTGGAATTGATCTCTCTTCTGATTTCATCTGCTGCTCCCACAAAGTCAACTGATTGTGGCTCTGCATTGTAATATTTCTTGGCCAAGTGTAAGTATTCCTGCAGTGCAAGAGAGAAACTCGTATTAGGCTTGTTCTTTTGCAATATGAGTGCTACTACAGCCAGAGATAAAAATTGCATGGACAAAAGCATAGTGTTTTGTCAAAGGAGCAATGTATTTTTTTAGTGGAAATGCTCAATTTAAATGTTCTTGTCTAACTACATCTGCAAATGATTCTTAGATTAGATACACATCCCATAAAACTAAAATTTTAGTGTCCAAAGTCTCAGGAAAAGTCTCATAGAAAACACTTATGTCAAGGATAATAACATGATTTGCAAATGTAGTGAAAATATTTAAAAGTATGTGGTTTATATTGTCATAGACAGTTTATGAAGGTTAACTGGCACTGCATAATCTGAATAAAAGGCTTACCTTACTGAAAGGCAATGATTTTTCTCCATATAACTGGTTGACACTTTTAAGCAGGTAATTTTCAGTAGGTTGATTGATTTCAAAGTTTAGTGCTTTAAATCCAGTATGGATATTATCTGATTTGCCAATTTCTTTCTTGAATAAAGAAAAAAAATGTTATTCATCTGTTGTGTAAAATAGTTAAAACTTCACAATTTTTGCTTTCATACAGCTCCAAGTAAAGTATTTCTCTTCAGGTGATCTGTTACCTGTATCACAACAGAAGAGGTACTCTAAGCTTGTCAGTATTAAAAGAATAATTTTAAAGGTGCAGGCAGATATGGTTCACAATGTAAGTCTTAAGAGCCTGAACTATGTAAAATATTTAAGGATTTATAGGTGAAGATTACAAAACTTAGGATATCCAGAAAATGAGAGAGAGTAATTGTTAAACAATGCATAAAGATTTGGCTCTGTCGTTCCTTTCATTTATGAAAGTCAAGGGTGTTACATGGAAGGTTTGCCCTTAATTTCTTAATCTCTCTCTTAAAATTTTGTGGTTTGTTCGGGTTTTTTTATTTTGCTTTGTTGGGTTTTCTTAATGTTTCAGTAATTGCAGTAGGTTATTTGTATTAAAGTAACAACAGGATTAAATGAATGTTGGCTCAGACTCTCAAATGAGCTCAAGGAAGATAAACTGTGAATTAGTAACCTAAAAGTCTGCATCTGTGCTGTATTCACCTTGCTATTGATTCAGAATCAGAGGCATGAACAGACACTTAAATCTCTAAACTGTTCAAACCCGTAGCACTACACATAGTGCTGTACATAGCACTCTGTAATTCTTACAATTAGGACAAGCATTACTCATGAGCAACAACCCCTCTCCTGTTCATGCAGTGCCAATGAGATGTTGACATAACCCCTAAAATAAATCTTCCCACCTTGGGATTTGGCCATGGGATGGAGAACCAAGTGGCCACTCATCAAAACTCATAGGAGTTGGGGTTTTGTGGGCAGACTGCAGGGAAATGGCTCACTCCCACAACAAATAAGGATGATGGGAAAGAGCAAGGAGAAGAGCTTGACACCACCCTGCTTAAATTGTCAGCGAGGAAAAAGAGCTTTTTTCCCTCAGAGGGATTACATTTACCTTTCTGTGTTTCTCTGCTGTGTCCAGTTACATATACTTTGGGACAAGATTTCTGCCATTATGGCAAAGAAATATTTCAGGAATATAATTATTCCCATCTCTCTAAGATTTATTGCAGGCAACTGGTCTACTTCAGGAAATCCTAATATGTAAATTTATTTTGTTAACTGCTCAATTGAAATGGAGACTAATTTCTGAAACATATCAACCATAGGTAGCTTGGAAAAGTTAACGTTTTGGTTTTATTGTCTTAATGATGCAATCAAATGTGTGGAAGGCAGATAATCCTTGGAATTAGCTCTCTGAGGTAGGAAGTGTGCTAGCTTTTGAACAGTAATAATTTGGGAAAGAAATCTGCCCTGAAAGCTAAGAGAGAAAGAACAAGAGATCTATTGATAGAGAATGATAACATCAAATGTTAAATTTTGCAAATTTGAGATTAGATTTTGCAATTCTGCCTAAAAAGGGGAAGCATGTAATAAATGTTGCATTAGGTGAAGGTATCACAGGATGTTGTACCAATTAGTTGTGTACACTAATTCTGAGGAAGGCAAATGTAAGCAAATGCAAATGTGGAAGGAAAATACAAGCAAGAAAAGATGTGACCATGCCCCATAGCTTGATCACTATCTTGGGTGAGGTACCTTCTGGAAACATGCACATCGATTTGATAGACTGTCTTCTGTTCTAGAATAGACTCGCATTCTTATGGTTGTGGTGACGTTTTTGGCTCCTTCAACTTTGTTAAAGTGAAGTACCTGTAGTGGAAAAAGCAATAATAAATGGATCAATAGAAAATTTGCCGTTTCTGTTAAAATTTTCAGTGATGTCATGGGAACTGGTAATGAAGAGAGTCAAGCTCAGATTTTATTCAGGCCTTTCTGAATATAAAATCTTTGATTAAGTCTTGAGGCTCATGTGTACAAAATGGCTTGTGTACACTAAGCTGAGGGCTGCAGTGCAAAACTCTTACATACCTAGTCTTTATAGAGAAATCTGCCTGCTTGGAATTATGTCTTAGGAAGAGCCAATTATCTCCAGATGGAGCCTATCAAAACAGAAGTCTAAATGGAGCATGCATATGTGTTAGAAAGCCTGAAAATTGTGCAGGCAGTTTCATGCCTTAAATCCCTTTCTCTGGTCTTGTTCGCCTTACCCAGGCTACAAAGGGGCACGATCAACCTTGGAACATTTTTGAGAAGAGCTGTGCCTTTTGTTTTGTTTTCCCTTCATCCTAACAGGAGATCACTCCTTTCTTTTTTACCCTACTGGCTCTCTTTTTTCCTATATATCAGGAGTTACATCACTGCCCTAGCAGGTGGGACAACTTCTGCCTTAGCAGATGCAAATTCATAAGGATCACCTCCTACGATAGGAGGTAGGTAACTGCATTAGGTGTTAGGTAACCGTGCATTGGGGCTGTCATTGCTGTCACGTGCTGAAACCATGAGCTTTGAACAAGTGCAACTTAGTGAATTCAGTCAGTGATTTTGCCAATAAAATATACATCCTAAAGAAAGGGTTGTAGTCTCAACTTGTTTCTTCTCTAATCTCGGAGATGTGGATTTATGTTTAGCAAAGTGTAAAACTTATAATAACTATAAGGGAGAGTCCTTTTCTGTGCAGTCATTTCCAGTAAGATGAGATATGAGATAAGAATTTTCTGTGGCGGAGTAGAAGAAGAATCCAAACCTCCTACTCCCTGGTGAGTGCTCAAGTTACTGAGCTTTGGGATAAAAATCCCTTGTTTCTGCTGGTGAAATTTAAAAGGTGACAATGGCACCAGTGCCACTTCTGTCATTTCTTAGGGTCCTGTTTGCAGAGGCTAGAGTAGAGTTGATCTGCAAAAGTGGAGAACTGGTCTATTCATTGCAAAGCACATCAGGGATAAAATGGGAGCTGGCATAAGTAGAAAAATCACTCTAATCAAAACTCTACACATATATGGCTTTCCTCTGTTCCATCACAGTAAAATTCTGTCATGGAGGACATTATTCCAAGAGACCTACCCTTTCAGACATCTACTTTTTGAAGCCCACACTCACCTTTGCCATTTGATCTGCAGTGTTACCTCTGGCTCCCAAATAAACCATAGCCAGGGCAGATGAAATACTTAAAGGGGAGAACAAAATATTCTCGTCACCATCTTCCTGACACTGCTGTTTGAAAAAGTCAAGAGCAAAGCTTGTGTTTGCTTTATTTAAAGCATCCATTGTTCTGAAGCTGCAAAGAAAGGGAGAAAATATGCTATTAACAAATGATTAATTATGACTGCTATGTGTCTGCAAGTTTCTCTTCACTTTTTGAACTTCCTTTTGTGATTTAAAGGCTTTCTAAAATTATCTATATGAAGAATGAGGAGGATTAACTATAATAAAGTCATATAAAGTTTAGCATGCCCTGTCCATGTCCATGTCCATATTTCACTGATGGCACTAGCCATCATTTTTAGGGATAAACCAGCCTCCAATCTTGTTTCCTATTTGGTGACCATTTGCTGCACTGTCCTTTACAGCATCTTGGAGTAACAGTTGATAACGTTACTCACCAGTGCCTGGACTAGAAAATATGGAGAAGCTCTCCCTTATGACAAATTTTATGCTTCAGTTTGTGCAAGAGTGTTTTGATGCTCATTGCTGTAGTGAACAAATACTCTGGTAACAATAGAGTCAAATTATTCATTTAGGTGAGGACAAAAGATTCCTTCCTATGCTTGAGGAAGCACCGCCCCAGCTGTTGCATGCTAAGCATCCTGAATTACCTTTTTGACTTTCAGAAGTGTCCTGAGCTCTGTCTTACAGTGGTAGCCCAGATCCTAGCTTCCCAGTACTTCTGCAGGACAAAGTTTCTGTATTCAGTAGCCCACGAATGCTGCTATTTGTCATTTGTCTTTCAGGTTTAGCTGAGAGCTCTAGACAGGGACTAGGAGATTTTCTGGTTGGTATGGGATGGCCTTAGAATAAAGACAGTTTGTCCCCAAAGTAGTTTGCATACCAGGAGCTGATCTGATAATTCTAAGCACTAAAGAGCACAAGAACAAATTAGCTGACTTAAGCAAACATTGTGGTTCTTACTCTGCTATGATATATGTGCTAGTCAGTGAGCCCTAGAAATTATAGAACTCTGAACAATAAATTGCTCTTCCTGTATATTTTTAAGACTTTCACCTTCTAGACTATGCCTGTGCAATCTTAGTTAATTACTTTCCCCAGTATTAGATGGTTTCCAGTTCAGATCCCTGCTTCCTTTTTTGCTATGCATTTGTCAACAAAGCAACATCATCCAAGAATGTGTGAAATAAATGGTATCTAGAAATCATTACAGTACCTTGTTCTGTACAGGAAGAAACACTGCTGCTCCAGGTGTCTCCAAGGTTTCTGCAGTTCACATGAAGGGTAGGGTGAATTTATAGTGTGCCTGGCCGGTTCTGCAAAGGTTCTTATGACTCATGACTGGGCAATGTGTTCTGCGCTGTAGCCCACATCCCTGTGGGAGAGCTGAATCATCTCAGAGTAGGATGTGAAGTGATGGTAAGAATGATACCACACAAGAACTTCACAAAACTGACTACATAAGTATTTCTATAAACACTTCTGTGGCAACAGACTAGTAACAACTTGAACCCACACTACTTTGAAGAGCCTTTCTTTTGTGGTTTGGAGAGTTTAAAAAAAGGCAGTTCCTGACCTACTTTTTTTATGATTTGTCTAAAGAATTTATCTCTGAGAAACAGACAGACAAAAAAAAAAAGAGAGTGACTTCTTATGTGTGAGTTTTTCTGTTGTCCTTTTCCTTCTCAGAAAGAATTGGTCACTCCTGGTGGGTTTCAGTTTTGGAAAAATGGGTTTTGCTAATCTTGAAGGATTTTAAGACAGTACAACCAGGGAAATGCTGCCACTGTGAGATAGCCAAGGTTAAGAGACAGGCATGAGACCTTTGCTTGTACTGTCAGTGGCAACATCACTAGAATCTAATGTGGGTCTTAAATTAGACTTCATTTCTGTTTCCCCACCTAATCTGAAAGCTGACTGATGTAGCACAACAGAGATCTATTCCTTATTTTTTTTCCATTTCATCTTTCCTTGGCTACAAAAATACCTCCTTTCCTGATTTTCCTTGCAATCATGCTGTCCCTTCCTCCGTTGTCCTTCCTGTAGCCGTCCATCCCCACTCTGACCCCTAACCGAAGCATCCTGTATAATCCTACCCTGGCCCTTTATTTCATTTTTTACCTCTCTGCATTGTTGAAAACTCCACCTTGAAAACCTAGACAGGAGTTGCTTTCCAGGGCTGCCTCCTCGACACCGAGCAGGACTCACAAGGTCTCTCTCCTTGGCACAAACTACCTTTGGAGCTTTCTTCTGACCTGCTGTCTATGAGCATGGGTTAAACGTGGACTTGTGTTGTAGGTCAGCAGCTGTCATGGAGGATCCTGTAGTGAGGAATGAACTATGGAAATACCTGCAAAATTTGATGTAGGGCATATGGGTGCGCAGCTGCCAATTCCCTGCCAATGGTGAACCTTCTGCAACAATATAATTGGGAAAGGAAAGCTTTGTTAAAGTTGCTTTCCTACCTGTGAGGTGCCACATTACTTTAATTGGATATTTTCCTACCCCTCGGGTCTTTTAAAATTGTAGCAACACATAAGGAGCATGTTTCAGTGTGAGTTGTAATTAGATGCATCTGTTAGGTTTTCTAGACAGCAGCATAGTGTAGGAGAGATACTCACTGCATAATTAATTGCTTCCATTACACCTGGGAAAACTCTAATCTGTTTATATTGGCATTCAGTGATTTCCAAGGCTTAAATGATTAGAATAATGTTTGCAAATTTAACCATGTTGTTGAACAAGTGATAGATACCCTGAAAAGACTTCATTTCCTAGAGCAATCCAATACTGTGGATTTTCTGGTTTTAAAGCAGAGTAATTTAATTTTCTACACTGTGATACTGCTTGCTGCCTTACAAGAAGTGACTGAGGTGTTCTATTTACACAGAAATGCGCAGTTAGACTGAATGAGAGGCTTGTGCCTTTGCACAGGGTTTTAAAGCTACCTTTTTAGAACACTTCTTGAGCTGGTAGTTAAGAAATAAAAATAAAAATAAAAAATAGAAATAAAAATAGCATACTGAGTAACTAGAATTATACTCATCTCAAAGGACAAAATATGCTAAATCCATGTGATGGGTTGATAATGTTTTCTAATATCCTTTTAAGTTAGTATCACCAGAGGACACGACTTTGAATGGTGCTACTGCTGACTCAGTAGCAGCAGTACTCCCACTCTTTACTAAGTCAACACAGCAGTACACTAGAGGACTTATATTTGTGTTAATAGTGCCCTTCCTGTGGGAAGTAAACCTTTGGGCCCTTTCACTGCAGTCATTCGTGTTTCCATTTGGTTAGAACAAATATTGGCAGGGTATCAGTGCCCTGGCCAGATCTCAGCCTTTTAAAGGCATTTTGTTTTCCTCCAGTTTCAGTGTAACTTTGCACACGTCATTTTGACTTTCCTGCAGTGTGTTGCTCTGTTCATTAGCATCTGGGTTCAGGAGTAGGTGATATGTTTGATGTCTGAACAGAACATTATTCTGTGATTCTGTGAAGGTTCTTGAGGGTCTTGAGAGAAAGACTTGCTGTTGCAGAAAATAGTAGCTTCTCCTCTCCCACAGGATTTTTAGGATACAACTTTCCATGACTGGTTTTCATACTCATTGGTAGCTTACTTTAGCTATCAACTCTGTACAGCTCTTGGAAATCTCTTTTAATTCAAAATTAACATGTTCTAAATTTCAGGGAAGATCAAAAGAAAAAGTGATGTTTGAAGGAAAGCTATTCAGTTTTCCTGACATCCTCAAGTGTTTTTTACCAGTATAAGCACTGTTTATTTACTTGGGAGGGAAGAATTTCTAATTCAGCCAGCTGAGCACTCTATTCAAGTTTTTGACTGAGCCAGAGCAGGCCAGTAGATTTTAAATATGAAAGAATTTTAAATGTCCCCAAACCTTTAAAAGGACTTTAGGAGATACAAGAAGCATGAGGAGGAAAAGGATTTTGAAATCTGAGAAGATTTGAATATCTTTGGAGGTCTGATGTAATTTTTTTAAAAAAAATCTCTGTGTGATTTAAAGTTAAAAACTGTAAGGAGGGGCACAGAAAATGAAGAAATAGTAAGAGTGCTAAGTGTTCTACTCTGCACTGATGCGGCCTTACCTGGAGTACTGTATGCAGTTTTGGCCACCACAGTACAAAAAAGACATTAAGCTATTAGAGAGTATCCAAAGTAGGGCCATGAGAATGGTGAAGGGTCTGGAGGGGAAGCCATGTGAGCGGTGGCTGAGGTCACCTGGTCTGTTCAGCCTGGAGAAGAGGAGACTGAGGGAAGACCTCATTGCAGTTACAATTTCCTCGTGAGGAGAAGCAGAGGGGCAGGTACCAATCATAGAATCATAGAATCAGATGAAGAGATCGGTGCCTGCCCCTCCTCTTCCCCTCACGAGGCGACAGAGTCCCCAGGGAAGTGGTCAGAGCCCCAAGCCTGTCTGAGTTCAAGAAGCGTTTGGACAATGCTCTCAGTCACATGGTGTGATTCTTGAGGTGTTCTGTGCAGGACCAGGAGCTGGACTCGATGTTCCCGATGTGTTCTTTCCAACTCAGTATATTCTATGATTCTATGACTAGAAACATAAACTTTTCAGTGCTAAGAAGGACTCTTTTTTGTGTGATGCCTCAGTTGTGGTGTTATTGAGAGCATGGCATGAGCTTTTCCTAATACTGTCAACTGAAAAAAAACCCTATATGTATCACCTAGGCTGCTTGTAACAGATTTTGGGTTGTGCTCTAACGGAATTATATGTAGGATAATAAGTTTGAATCAACCTGAAATTTCAAATAGTTTTTAAGTTTAAAAAAGATTCAGTCTTTGAGTATCTTTTCTCTCTTTAAAGCTTTGGTTGTCAATACACGTGTCTTTATTTTGAAAGAGAGTAGATAGTGATCTTTTGTGTGCCTCCTACTAGTAAATTTGCAAGCCTTCCCTTGCCAAACAATCCTTGCTGACATACTCTAACACTATGTGAGTTTCCAAAGGGTGTGGTGAGGTTCTTGTATAGATATTATTGAGGCACTTTGCTCCACATCTGCCAAAAGCAAAGGTGTGGTGGAATTTGGCACAATTCACCATACTTCAGTATTACTTCTACATGCTTTAGCTTCGACACTGTAATTAATAAAGGTAGTGTTTGTCCTGAGAAATTCTGCTCTGTTAAGAAGCGCAACACTTCTGAGAAAGGACTGATCTCTATATCTGAAGAGAGAGAGTTTATCTGTTAATGAATAGGCACGCTGTTTTCACATGTGCAAGGGTGCAGTTTTCCTTTGAGTGACTCAGGTGGTGAGCATTTTAAAAGTATCCCAGGTAGCAGTGACATCAAAAGTAGAAAGAGTGGCCTGAATTTCTCAATCATGATACACAGTGCTGCATTATGAGTAATGATGTATATGTGGTTTGTGTGCACTTCAGCTGAAACTCGTCATTTTTCCGAAGAAATCTCTCAAAGGGTGTAACTGTATGTCAGCTGCACAACTACTGAATCAGAAAGCTGATCCCTGCTTCCTGTTCCAGTTCAATAGTGCAAGATATGCCAAGTTATGGGATGAAGAATGTGAATATCAAGTTGATGTATCTTCAAAACACATTTTTAAACCGGAGCCTTGTGCTGACGTGCAAGAACACAGAATAGAGGAAGGACTCTTTTTTAAGAAACCCATTTAAACATTTGCTCTTTTTTTCATACAGCTTGACTGTAAATATTCTTGCTTGGCAAAATGACCAAGATTTTCCCAAGGCAGTTGGTATTTTTAGGAATTTTTATCAGGAGAATTTTCCCAATACTCACTTAAGGAAGTGTAGAGGAAATCTCAGCTATCACTGACTTGTTTGGCACTTGCTGGCCCTTCAGTTTCATGCCTTTTAGGCTAATCTTGGAACTGATCTGAACTATCTGGTTAAGTGCACATACAAAGGCAGTAATGCTTTGTCATGGAAGAGAGTAACCCCAAAAAGAGGGGCTTGGAATGGAATTTCCCCCTCAGACTGAGAAGGACCTTGAGTGAGCTGGTGTCATTAGCATCACTTGAGCCTGTCTTATCAATGCCTTTGCCATTGCAAGATTCTTCCATCTTTCCATCTCTCTCATTCACTGCCTGTTGCACAAAGGATCTCAGACTCTTGAGACCTGACATCCTTTTACGTGGTTCAAGTTAGCAAGCTTTTAGAAATAGTGACCAAGGGGCAATTAATGACATGATACATGACAAGTATGATGATGATCTCATGTTCGTTTCTGCTCTCTGGTAAAATAAGATGGAAAGTTTTCATTTTGTTCCTCAACCTTTCTTGAGGCTTGCAAAAGTGTGAACT